GAGTTGTATTCACATGGCTAAAACCAACTCCTCCAATCACCGAAGTCCTTCCTAGAGCCACTCCACACTAATCGTTAATATCAGTTTTCCCATACAGGCCCACATCACGATCGCGTGAGGAAGTCTTCACTTTCTGCCCTATTAGAAAGATAGCTGAATTAGATAAAAAGGAGAACAATATAGGTAGAAACACCTACGAGGTTGGGGGCTCTTGGTAGGTGGCAATGATACTAATCTTGTCACAACTATGGAGGACTGTGAAAGAAGGTCAAGGTAAGATAGTCAATTTAGAGAGATGTAGAGATTTTATTTTATTTGAGGAGAAGGGAACAAATAAGCCTGTTGGGGATTGCTAATTAAAATGTTTGAAACTTTTTGAAATGTCAACAATGATATTTTTTTTGTAACATCGCAGTCCTTTTCCTGATCAAAACAATGTCTGTTTTGGGTCTAGCCTCGTATGATTTTGTTATTGGGTGCATTATGGTAACTTCTCAATAGGTCATACGTCTCTGCACTACTCCACCCTAAACACGTTTGATTTGAGAGTTGTTACAAAAGCTCCTTCATTTCACCACAAAACTTGTCTTGTCATTTAAGGTTTCATTATTTCGTAAAGTTCATGGATCTCTCACATGCTTTGTCGATATGTGATTTGGAAATCAACATCCTTGTTGAGGTTTGCCCCAACCTGATTCAAGAGTGATGCAGAGAGGGTATGATGTCACTTATAACATCTCAACCCTTTTCTGGCCTGGGATATGGTTTTTTTGTGTCTAGTCCCACACGATTTTGCTTTTGGGTGCATCATGGTGATTTTCAAGAGGTCACTCTTATATGCACTGCTCCATTTTCACTCCAAAAATTGTGGTTGAATTATTCCTTATAGCCTATAGATGTCGCACATACTTTTTAAATGATGGATTCACGTAAGGTGTATATTTTATGTTTCTAAAAAAATTTCAATAAAATATATAAATAGCATTGTTTTCTCACCGTATTAGATTACACATTCTACAAGTATAGCCTATCTATGTATCGATACCCTGACCAACAGAAAAATCAAGTACGTACATTAAAAAGGAAAATAAGTGCGCTCATTCGCCATGCCGACCATTACGCATAACACATCTATAACCAAATTTCAACACCATCCTCCTTCTCCTCTACCTTTCAAATGTTCGTAGAATTTCTTCATCTCTAATGGACACGTTGTACATTTGAACCATGGGGAAAAAGCAAGAAGATCTTGCGATATGCTTCATCACGATTGTGTTATTTGTGTGCATAATCTTGGGGGGAATTTTCCTAGGGATGTATCTCTTCTTGCCTCCTCATCGGGTGCGATATTGGTATCCCCTGGCAGGAATAGGGCTGGTAAGCATGCCATGGCTCTTTTGGTTCATTACTTACTTGTACATACGTTTGAAACAAAGGAAATATCGTAATCCTAAATATGAGAAGCCACCGCGATCATCACGACGATCCTCCTTGAAAGAGCCATCATTGTTGCAACCTCCCTCCGATGCAGAATCTAATGTAAAGCCTAATGATGTAGAAGTGAATGAGCCAATATTGCCCACACCTTCAGATTCGAGTTCCAAGCACGTGCGCTTTGGAGGGGTTGTGGTGTTCAGCGTTGATCAGGATGAGAATGAGGGTAGTAGGCTCAATGAACATGAATGTATAGTTGTTTAGGGAAGGGATAATCTTTTTTTTTCTTTTTGAGAAAGAGTTGAAATCATTCTATTGTTTTTCATTAATTAGATGTACAATTTGTTTATAGTAGAAATGATGAGACGTAAATCATATTTATCTGTTCAAGGTGTTCACAATATTTAGAACTACTTTAATTATTTTTGAAGAAATTATCAGGTTCAAGACATATTAATAGTCAAAACTTTCTTTTTCTTTAGCAATCATAAGAAGAAGAAGAAGAAAAATTATGCTCCTTCTTTATGAATAAATATTATTAATTAACAACTACATTCAATTCATTCTTTCATAAGATTCAAGACATCCTGTGGTTTGATTACCGTGATTAATAAATTAGATGTATAATATTGTGATATTAGAAATGAAATTATCTATTGTATTTAAGATGTGTTCGTTATCTATTTTCAGTCAAAAGTTTCATGTCTAAGTAATTAAGCTATCTTTGAAGAACATATAGTAATTAATATTAGAATACTCACGCTCAATTTCCCCCCTCCTGGTGACTCACTGAAGAATTTCTTTTTGACACCGTCTATCATGGTGTTTGTTGCTCGTTAGATCTTCTTGCAGTTCGTGATGCTAGCTTGGTTACGATTTCCATTTCTCTGGCGATAGTAGGTTAGGTTCCTTGAGTCGCTTTCTAGACTGCCCATAAAGTGGGGCACGTAAAGCCCTATCGATTTATTTCTTTTAGTTGGAGTCGTTTGTAGCCTGATTATTGTAGGCTTTTGTTTTTTAGAGTGTAAGGGGGTTGGGGGTGTTCTTTACTTATTTTATGGTATTTTAGAGCAACCTTTTGCCAAGTATGATTGGATAAGATTCACAATTTTCCATGCCATATTTTCATTTTAACTTTTTATAGTAATTTACTAATTTTCACTAAACTAAAACTAGATAAACATATATTTGTTGTCACTAAGGTTTGAACTTGGAACCTCTAAGTCCAAGTTATTATCACTTAAGGCATATAGTGTTTAAACTATGGTTTAACCGTTTCATACCGATAAAACTATATATCTAATTGGGTTCCGGTAGGCCATTTTTCTGATTTGGCCGCCGTTACGTTTTTTGGAATACTAATACAAAGTTCAATTGCAGTTACTATGCAAATTCAAAATTGTAAAATGAGAAATCAAAAAATAATCTCACTAGTAAGCCCAAACTATCCAAAAAGTGTCATTTGTGTACTAAATTATTAAATATGACAAATATGGTACAAACTATTTTTCCATTAATGTTGACCGTTAATCTTTAACAGAAAATCTAATCAGCATCTATGTGGCATCTGAGGTGGAAATAATTTTAATTTTAATTTATTTTTTTCATAAAATGTGGATTATAAAATATTTTATTATGTACATAAAACACAAAACAAACTAATTTCTCTTCCTCATCCCCATCCCCCGATTTTCATCATTGTCTTCAAATCACTGCTGCCCCCTCTCCTGATTTTCATCATCGTCTTCAACATCACTATCGCCAATCCCAACTCAGGGGAAACCTTCGATCAACACCACCATCGACACTAGTCGCATCTTCCCTAACCTGAAACATCCCCAATCTCGCTTGACATAGCCACAAACATGGGAGGAAAGTTAGGTTGGAGATTTAATCCCCTGCCTCAGGCTACAACGAAGATTTCTGGCACTAATTCTTCTCGGTCGACTCAATTTCTATCAAGACTGCCACTACAAGAATCGTCACCGCCATCATCATACTTCCTTCTCCTGTGAATGGAGGAAGGCGCTGGTGGTGCAAGCAAGAGCAAAGATGAAGTCGAGCGGATGAATTTAGGGCATAAATCTCAAAATTGTTGCTTGCTCTGGCGATGGTGGAGTTGCGACCGACAATTCTTCAACGACGAATCTGGGCAGTGAGGGCGGAGATTTTTAGGGACTTGATTTTTTTTATTTAGGGATAGGGAAGGAAGCAGATAGACGAGTTGGCGTGAGGGGATGAAGGAGGCGGAGGCATGAGTGGAGCAGATCTAGGATTTTATGTTAATTTGGCGGTGGTTTCTATCAAGACGGCGGGACTCGGATGGCGCTGGGTTTCAGCAGCTGGAGACAAGGGTAGAAGGGAAGTAGAGGGGTGGCATGGGTTTTGTTAGGCCCTCCGGCAGGCAAGAGCCTCCCGCAGTTGATTGTTATCGATTGATGCATGATAGGGGGTTCTCGATCGAGTTTGGGGAAAGAGCTCGATCCCAGTTTTCTTTTAATTTTTACAATTTATATTTTTTTAATTTAATTCCAAATAAAAAATATGATGTTTTGATGATTTGGCAACTTATGTGGCTGACATGTAGGCGCCACGTCATTATAGTCAAACAGACTTCACTGAGTACACCTCTCCCTCCAGACTTCACTGAGTACTAAACACCAAAGAATCCTTCCCACCCGACACTTACTCAATTGCTGGTTTGCTAGCACCATTGCTTGCTCCAATCTAGTTTCAATAGGGCCCTGCCAAGACACGGGAAATATTGTTCTCCATACCTCCTGCATATACTTACATTGGAAAAATATATGGTCTCTAGATTCTGCCTCCAATTTGCACAGTGAACAGCAAGTATTCACCTCAGCATTCCACCTCTGGACTTTGTCCAAAGTTGTGATTCGCCCCAACAAAATAAGCCATGTTAGTAGTGAATTCTTTGGTATACAACCTTTCCAAATCAACTTTGACCATGTCACCACCTCCCCTCATGGCCTAATGCTCTGCCACACTTTGCTAGTCTGAAATCTGTCCATTGCTACTCCCTCCCATTCCACACCCTGATCTGTTCTACACAATCGTCCCGCAAAAATAGCCCTGAGCTTTAATATGTTTTTGTTTATATTAAACTCACTTACAAAATATACGAATTAAAAGTTAAACAGAGATCACAACATATTACTTTTCGTAAAATTATCTCCAATAATATGAAGATCTTGTATTCAGTCAACAATCATACAACCAAATTTACTCCACAATTTTTGGGACCAAGGTGGTGCAAATGACCCACTTTGACCTCAACCGGCTCCGCAATTGTAAGCCGCTAAACCCCACCACCTACTCAGGTTACAAGTTGACTATGACGAGCTACCAAATGAAACCGACTCATGAGCTGACGATCTTTAGTTCAAATCCGATTCTTTAGTGAACAAATCAAGTGCCAAACGAACTTTTCGGGGGCGTAGAATGTGAAGCAAATCGATTCTACTATACTTATAATACGTTGAAGGGGAAAACAGCTTCCCCATTTCAAAATCCCTGCTTTCAGAGCGTTTCTCGGAGGGGTGTTTTTGGAAGTAGTGGCAAAAAATTTCTCCGCATTCCATGTCTGCCCGGCCTGCACCTTTTCTGGGCTGCGCGCAAAATGTAAAAACAAACACCTGGGCCTTCATTCCGGCCCATTTCATTTCTCCCTCCCCGCTCACTTTCACTAATCGTCGATCCTACCGCGAGCAACGCCAGACTAGGTATTCTCCGGTGGTTCAGTTACGGGCGGAGCAGCCAAAGGGTTCACGAAACCTCTTCTTCTCCTCCGCCAAATTCCGATACAATAGCCCGCCGCCTAACTCCCATCATCTCTACCACGAGTCTGTCGAAGGAATTTCAACCACGCCGTGGTACGCCGTCGAAGCTAATTGCTTTAATTCCCGCATTTGTATCTGCTTCGAGCTCCTGCCGCGAAGGGAGGGAAGATGAACAAGTGAAGCCCCAGTTATCACACCAATATCTGCAATCGAATTGAAGTCATCATCCCAATTCCACAAAGAACAGAGATCGGGTAATTCCTTTAATTCAATCAAATCTGGGTGGAAAGTGAAGGAGAGAAAAAAAAACTGATGTCTTTTGTGTTTAGTCCAGACGTACCATAGCCAAAGAGGCACGATGCTTGATATTTTGCTCCCTATTCATGAAAATGGATACAGTTTGCTCGCTTCATCATCCGAGGTAATTGAAAGGCTGAATGCAGTTTCTTTTTTTGCTCTTTCGATTGCATTTTCTGGTTTTGGTAGCTGCTCTTTCGACTGCACCCTCCGAATTGAGAATACCTATCTATTGCTCAACCAATTTGGCTGTTTAGAGTTTGAAACCCCAGTTCAGATAGATGCTCTACATGCATCATCGTTGCTGCCATCATAGTGTGCATATTTTTCAAGAACAACATCTTTTTATTGGTTCTTACCCTGGATGTTGTCGTTTATTTGCTGCTTTGTCACTTTTTTTTGGGTAAATTTGCTTATTTATTATGGTTCCACTTAAGTCAGTGTGATATATTATGGTTCTTCGTCAATACAATTAGCTAATTTTTTTGAATTCATTGCTTTAACTTATGTCTTTTCTCTATCCTAGGTTAATATCACCTCTTACAAACTAATTAATAGGAAAGGATAAAGGATAGAAAGAGGAGTGGGGAGACAAATAAAGTGACAAAACCCTTATGAGGTTTGATACCAACCAAATATAACCTGAAACATGGTGCAGAAATTGGAACCTACAGCAGATATAATGTGCTGCGAACTTGGTTGTTTTTCTATTATGATGTTTAAATGCAGAGTGATTAATTTTCTTCGACTAACTCTAAAATGTTTATATATTATAGGAATTTGGCCACTAATTAATTCACCGAGCCCTGACCTTGGGTGAGTAGTTTGGATACTGATTGAAGATCGCGTAAGTTTTTCTCTTCCCTGACACCAAATGTGATACTTTTTCTCATTCATTAACATATATTTTGGTTTAGCGTTTGGTGGTTGGTGATTATGAGACAATTGAAGCTCACGTTATTCTAAACATCAAATCAATTTTGACAAGAGTTAATGTTACAGTTGATCTTACTTATATAGCTATTGTAGAGAATCCTTAAAAAAATTACTTGAATTTGATTCATGACCATGTTGTTTCTCTGCTCCCTTAGCGGAAAATTTTGGATGTTATGAACCAACTATTTAGGAAAACTGCATTTCAAGAGAGCTAGGAGCAAGACCTGTACGCCCTTGCTTTGACTATAATACTGATCTCATAATCATCATGCACTACGCAGGGTTGAAAACCGGTATGCAAAAGCAATTAAATTCAGAGTGTTGTGATTGCTTGCTCTTTTGATATATGCTTGCTCTTTTCATATACGAGGTAGGTGCATTTAGTTGATGAATGAAACCGCTTTGTAAAAGAAATTGCAATTAGTTGCTCATATTTGCTTGCTCAAAATTAGTTTATGTACCCTTTTGGTGTATCGATTCTGATCACAATTCTGTTTGCTGGAGGATTCGTAGAATGAATAAGTCTCCTCTCGCTCCAGTGAAGTCCTATCTCAGTGAAGGAAAGGTCATGTATCAGTGATTTCCTTTGACTTCTCCACTTTTGTATGTTATTGAAAGCAATTTATTTTTACCCAGAATACAAATTGGCCACTTTGTATTTAAGAGGTGTCCTGGTAGGGTAGAACAGAAGTGGTATCTTGCTAAGCCTTTTTAGCATGTATGTCGTGGTTCTTGGCTCCACAGTAGAATAAGATTGGGAAGGTTGGAATTGGTATTCTTATTATTGGGATTCTCAATTAAGGATTGCTATTGGGGTTTATGTTTGCTAATGTTGCTTCGTTTATTTTATGTCAGGGGTTAACAACAAAAAGCTTTCAACCTTTTCTATCCAAACCTGCGATTGAGTTTTGTATTAGTGATTATATGCTTTGGTTATGGCAGAAGTATAGTTTATAATGGTCACCAGCAGTTTTATGTATAGAAACTGTATTTGTCTCAGGCTCTCAGCTGATTTTTGTAGTATTTTCTACCTGTGGTATGTTTGTTTTTTTCTATTAACCCATTTCTTGCTAAATGGATTCTGCTCATATGCTGTATTGAATCTCTGATCTTAGCTTTGTTGCCTGCTCTCATGCTTATGTGGTTCATCAAATGCTTCAATGAGCAAACATGATACCGATTTTATGTGAATTATGGACATTAAGAAGAAGAGAGGGGAAAGCTTCATTATGATAAGCTACTCTAGCAAACATGATACTCTTTTTATTACTAGGACTCATCATGTTAATTAGTGTAGATAGGCATTAGGCGAGTTAGACGGGTTTAATGTGGAAGTTCTATGATATAAGTGATCTACACATAACACTAAGCTACAATGATGTAAAATATTATGGAAAATTCTCCCCTTTGAGAAAGTTTGGCAAGACTTCTTTTGGAATTTCTTAGGACATTACTGAGTTGTACGAATTTTAAGTGAAAATTCAGCCAACTACAACTAATTAGGTGAATTTAAACATGACCCGCACCCACCCGAATAAACAACATTGGATAGTTGGGTTCTTTTATTTGATATCATAATGATCAAATTATAGTGTATTTTATAGGGAATCGTTTGATATTTATTAGTAAAAAACTAAACAGAAAGATCTATTTGGTTATTTTAAACATTAAAATGATCCTAAACATTTTCAGTTCCTTTTGATTCTATGGTTTTATTCCCGAATAAGTGATGTGCAAATGGCGAATTGCAGTCATCTCTTTTCTTTCACTATTTTTTATTTTCAAATAGAAAGTTTAAAAGTAAAGAATAATTAGAATTTGGCATGGGCCAGTCAAACAGGCTGAATTTCAAGTTCTGGCCCATTTTGATCAAGTCTAATTTATAATCACATGGTTCGCTGAAACCCGATAAAAATCTCAATCCAAACCAGTTTGGCAGGTGAGTCCGTGTTTACCACCATTTTCTAGGGGTACGACAACGGCGGTTCCTATCCCAAATCGTGTTGTTCGTTCTTGATTTCTTTAGATTTTATCATGACCTGACAAAAACCAGAAAGCACAATGACGACAAGATAAAAGTTTTATAAAGCAAATTAATCGGCCAACGGGCCGAGTAAAAGCTAGCAACGATTGTAAGATGCTCATTTCCAGAAAATCGACGGGATAGGCGATTTTTATTCGATTTTCTGGAATTCGGTTTCTATAAAACTTACTCCACCTCATCATATTACCATAAACAATATTGTTTCACAAGGTAATAGCTAGGTACTTGATTTTGGTTCATAAGGACAATTTTTGATTCGTTGCATCATTCATGTATCTTTTCTACTAAAATTCTTTATCACGTGTTTCCCAAAAAAAAAACTATACAACAATAAGCTATACATCCCATTACATTATCAAATTTCATACCTCACCTTCCTCCGGCCAACTGGCCGGGGTCCACACTAGTCCCTACAAACCACTAGTCTCTAGCTCCACGATGGATGCTGGGCCGACCTCGTTACGCTTTCACCTTTTTTTGTACCAAAATAAATTCAGAAATTTTAATTGGAGACGAGATTCGACGGGAAGGGGAAAAAAAAAATTTATTGGAGACGAGGGTGCTCCACGCTCTCGCGTAGGACTAACAAACAAATTCAGATTCAGGCCCAAGCGAAACGACCACAAGAAATGTAGATTGAAGAGAGAGAGAGAGAGAGAACGACAATGAAACACGTCGGGCATTTGGCGCGTGGCGGACGTTAAACCTCAACCTCCTTCCACTCTACGCCACAGAATCCGCTGCCCAGCCAATCACACGGCTCAACCCTCGAATCTCCGATCTCCCTCCGTCTCCATCAAATGACCAATAGGAAAAAAAAAATTATTTAATTTTTTTTTTAAAAAAGAAAACAAAGAAGGAAGCAAACGGCAGCCGAAGAAGTCCACAACTTCTTTCTCGAGCCCTTCCTCCTCGTCTCCGATTCCGTTAATTGCGAAAAAAAATGGAATCGGCCTTCGCCCTGCAGCACCATCCTCCGCCGCGCCCGCCGCCGTTCTGCCATTTCTCCTTCCCTTCCTCGCTCTCTCGCCCTCACTCGCTTTTCCTCCGCCACAGGAAGTTCCCGCACTGCTTATTCCGATGTCTCCAAGCGCAGCAGCAGGAGGCGGCTGCGCCGGCTACCTCGGAAGGCAAGAGGAAGGGGAAGGTGAGGAGGAACAGTGGGAGCCGAGGTAAGGCGTTGACTAACAAAAGGACCGCCGCCGGCGAAGCCGCCGTCGCGGTGGCGAGGCCGAGGAGCGAGAGGAAGGAGGAGGTGAGCTTGGAGTCGCTTCAACAGAAAGGAGATCCACTGGGATGGAGGGATCTCGGGAAGAGCGTTGTGAAGTGGATATCCCAGGGGATGAAGGCAATGGCGTTGGATTTTGTTGCCGCGGAGTCGCAAGGGGAGTTCGAGGAGCTGAAGCAGAGGATGGGACCTGGTCTGACGTTCGTGATGCAGGCGCAGGCTTACTTGAACGCGGCTCCTATGCCTCTAGGGCTCGAGTCCGTTTGCTTGAAGGCTTGTACGCATTACCCGACGCTCTTTGATAATTTCCAGAGGGAGTTGCTGGAAGTTCTTCGTGGTATGCAGGAGAAAGGCTCGGTTGAGGATTGGCGTCAGACCGAGTCCTGGAAGTTCTTCAAGTATCTTGCCAAATCAGGTATCTCTTTTACACTTGAAACGTTTTGTTCTCTTTCAGTTTTTTGGATAGTTTGAGTACCCAAAACTTAGCCATGGTGGAATTTTGGTGTTTGGTGACATTCATATGTAATTGATGTATAGGCTGTAGACTCGATTGCTGAGTTTGAGTTGGGTTGACGTTTTGCAGCTCAGCATAAGGAAATTGCGAGGAAGATAACGCAGCCCAAGCGTGTGCAAGGAGTTTCAGGTATGGATTTGGAAAAGGCCAAGGCCATACAAGAGAGGATTGATGATTTCACAAAGAAAATGTCAGAGCTGCTTGTGGTGGAGAGGGATGCTGAAGTTGAGTATACTCAGGAGGAGTTGAATGTTGTCCCCACCCCAGATGAAAACTCTGAATCTAGTGGCCCGATCGAGTTCTTGGTTACTCATGGGCAGGCTCAACAAGAGCTCTGTGACACCATCTGCAACTTGTATGCAGTTAGCAGCTCTGTAGGTAATAGCTATTAGCTTCTTATCCCTAACATGGCTGGTGTCTTTGCTAAACCCTCTTCTTGTATAGTTTTGCAGTTAAAATGGTTGCGTTCATTGACTAACATGGGCTTGTGATGTGAACAGGGTTAGGAGCAATGAACTTGGTATTGTTTAGGACCGATGGGAATCATCTATTGCCGCCAACAAACCTTACTCCTGGGGATATGGTCTGCGTGAGAACATGTGATAGCAGGGGCGCAGTTGAAACCTCTTGTTTGCAAGGATTTATACATAACCTTGGAGAGGATGGCTGCAGCATAAGTGTGGCCCTAGAATCTCGTCATGGAGATGCCACCTTCTCTAAGCTGTCTGGCAAGAGTGTGCGCATTGATCGTATTCAGGGACTTGCAGATGCTCTCACATATGAGGTATTTAATAAAAACAGATCATAAAACGGATATATCTGAATCCGAGTTTAGATATCTGGTACTGAGTTATAGTAGTAATACCATGATTCTTGAATATCTTGGCGTGCTTGGACTTTCTGCTTTATGGATTCCAAGCTTCCTTCTGCTGTGAAATTCTAGAGAGTTTGTAGTTTCTTAAATGCTGCACTTCATTTCTCTAAATGAATAGCTTCTTGTGATTTTATTTTGAAGAGAAACTGCGAGGCATTGATGCTGCTTCAGAAGAATGGCTTACAGAAGAAAAACCCTTCAATCGCTATTGTGGCTACGCTATTTGGTGACAAGGAAGATGTTGAATGGTTGGAACAGAATAATTTAGTGAGTTGGGATGAGTTAAATTTGGATAAATCCATGATAGACACAAAATTCGATGATTCACAGCAGAGAGCAATTGCCTTGGGTTTGAATAAGAAAAGACCGGTACTTCTAATTCAAGGGCCTCCTGGTACTGGCAAGTCAGGCTTGCTTAAGGAAATTATCACACTTGCAGTTGAACAAGGTGAAAGGGTACTTGTTACAGCACCAACAAATGCTGCAGTAGACAATATGGTGGAAAAACTCTCAGATTTCGGATTAGACATTGTGAGAGTCGGGAATCCTGCACGTATTTCCTCGGCTGTAGCATCAAAGTCTTTGGGAGAGATAGTGAACTCAAAGCTTGCAGCATATAGAGCTGAGCTCGAGAGGAAGAAGTCCGATCTAAGAAAAGACCTGCGGTATTGTCTGAAGGATGATTCTTTAGCTGCTGGCATACGGCAGCTTTTGAAACAACTGGGAAGGGCACTCCAGAAGAAGGAGAAGGAAACCATAAAGGAAGTGCTATCGACTTCCCAAGTGGTGCTAGCAACCAACACTGGAGCTGCTGATCCACTCATAAGAAAGCTGCCTACATTTGATCTGGTTGTAATAGATGAGGCAGGGCAGGCAATCGAACCATCTTGTTGGATTCCAATACTCAAGGGCAGACGTTGCATTGTTGCAGGTGACCAGTGCCAGCTTGCTCCGTTAATTCTATCCCGAAAGGCCCTGGAGGGTGGCCTGGGGATTTCACTATTGGAACGAGCTGCATCTTTACACGAAGGGCTCCTCACAACCACATTAAGAACACAGTACCGTATGAATGATGCGATAGCCAGCTGGGCTTCCAAGGAGATGTATGGTGGATTGTTGGAGTCCTCTCCCGTTGTTGCTTCCCATCTTCTCGTGGATTCTCCTTTTGTGAAGGTAGAAACCCTGTCTTGAGATGCTTTTAACTGGGATCACATACATACTGTTACATTGTTCCTTCTGTTTCTAATTCTTTGTAAACAACTCCTGCAGCCAACATGGGTGACTCTATGCCCACTGTTGCTACTAGACACAAGGATGCCGTATGGAAGTTTGTCAGTGGGATGTGAAGAGCATCTGGACCCAGCCGGAACAGGCTCTTTTTACAACGAAGGGGAAGCTGATATCGTCGTGGAACATGTGCTCTCATTGATATACGCTGGTAAGTAGTATTTGCATCCAGAATGGTTGCTTGTGTTTCGTTTTCCTTTTTTGGGGGTTTGATCTAGAGATAAAAGGAAGCAGACTTTAAGGCATTCCCTGTGTTGCCGTGCAGTCCAAGCCTCGGCACAGACCTGAAAACCTGAATGATTTTTGCTTATACATCTGTTACTCTCACTTGCAGGCGTCAGACCGGCGGCGATAGTGGTTCAGTCACCTTACGTTGCTCAGGTACAGCTGCTGAGGGATAGGTTGGGAGAACTGCCGGAGTCTGGCGATGTTCAGGTCTCAACCATCGACAGCTTCCAAGGGCGGGAGGGCGATGCAGTAATTATCTCAATGGTATGAATGGGTCCCGCTATTCTATCCCCCTCTCTCCCTCCCTGCTTTTCTTCCTTCTTTCAAGCCCTAAAAATGACATGCAAACGAAACGTAAAGTCACCAACTGTGATTAACTTTACCTTATTTCGCCTCTTTTTTATGGTCGGCTGTGAACATCAAGCATAAAAAGGCGACAGTTTTAGTTGACATTCATGCACAGCATGGACATCATCATCATCATCATCATTGATTGTCGTTCATTTTCATCCGTTGGTATAATTTTTTGCTGCCGACATGATTTGCGAGCTTAACAAACTGGGAAACCACTTCATGGTCTATAATTGCTAAAACAGAAATGGCCACATGTCTCGTAGTTTTTCTTTAGAGGTGTTGATACCTATTGTATTATGAATGTGTCATATTTAGTCACCAAATTCTAAACGCTCTCCGTAACATTGTCGAATCGGATTGATTATGGTACGCGATTTAACTCGTTACGCGACATCCATGCAGGTCCGATCCAACACGCTGGGAGCGGTGGGGTTCTTGGGCGACAACAGGAGGATGAATGTGGCGATCACGAGGGCAAGGAAGCACGTAGCGGTGGTGTGCGATAGCTCGACGATCTGCCACAACAGCTTCCTGGCTCGGCTGCTCCGCCACATCCGCTACTTCGGGAGGGTGAAGCATGCTGAGCCGGGGACCTTCGGCGGCTCCGGCCTCGGGATGGATCCCATGCTGCCGTCCATTGGGTAAAAACTCAATTGTCATCTGCTACTTGTTGTTGTTGTGGATTTCTGTCGGTTTAAGATAAGAGATAGCTAGCTGTCCTTGGTCTTTTCTTTCTGTGCTAGTTTTTCTTTTCAAAAGCAAACATTGTTTCTCTCCAATCTGGATCGTTATTATGATAATGTACATACAGGAAAGTAAGAAAACGAGAAAAAAAAAGAGGTGAAAAGGGAAGAAAGCAAAGGGTGTCTTTTGTTTTGTATTTGTGGGGGGATTATTGTCACCAACTGTATATAAAGTGTATCAGGTACATAATTAAAATTAACATTCTCCCTTTACAGGGTATTCTGTGTTCTATTATGTATATGAGTTAGCCATGTTATGGCATTTAATTGTTAGTTTAGGACTTTTGGTACTGGGTAGAAGAAAGTATTACACAAAGATTGAAGGAAAAAAAGCCGGCCAGGCAGAAAGTTTGTTAGAGAGGGGACCAGAAGGAAAAAAAGCCTAATTAATTATCAGTGGAAGGGGAATGATTAAGCCCACCACCGCCCACTCCTCTTTTCTTTACTTAGAAAAAAAACACCGCCCACTCCTCCTAAAGCAAACAGAAAGAGTTTACTGTGTCGTAAACATGATTATCGAATATCATTAACCAATGTGCATACTGGACTTGCACCCTCAGTTCAATTGTGCATCCATGAGTGAATAGGGTTGCTCATTCGTAAAACTCGAATTTGTCTACTCTCGTGATAGATTTTTGTAATATGTTAATTCGATGATCACATACGATATGATGATCCACATGGATGACAATTGAATTCGTACTCATGGATATATTACTCGACCGGTGCAAAATTTGGAGGGAGAAGTAGGGTATAGGTTTGGTTATTGTTTCGTGGTTATGCTCACTTTGATAATCTGGACATTGTATCTATATGTTTCTCTATAATACGAGTGATATAATAGTTTTTTTTTTTTTTGACCCGATCCCTTATTTTATCCCTACTCCTTAGCTGATACAGTCATACAGATACCCTGCCAGACATTCTTGTCTTCCCTTCCCTTCCCTTCCCTTCCAATTTTATTTTTATTTATTATTAATAAACATAAAAGCAATAAAAAAGAAAAAGCAAGAATGAGTCAAAAAAGTAGAGGGAGTCCAGCATTCCCATTTCCCTTCAAAATTTATTTTTGGCTGGAATTTCTTCTGCTAATGATCCCTTTTCTCTCCTTTCTCAATCCCTGCATGCTTTCCCTTTCCCAACAATGATCTCTCCTCCGTGTTCCAATCTGGCTCTACCCCATTCACCATTCCCATTTCTTTCTTCTCCGCCACCACACTGAAAAACCAGATCACCAAACATAATTCGGCTTTTACAGTTCCCTCGCTGCTTCGCTTGTAGAGAGTCTCTTTCCTTCTCCTCCTCTTCCATTGTACAGCAGCCGATCATCATCACTCCGTCAACTTGCCCCCGAAATTCGCTTTTTAGGTATTGAATTCTCATCCATCCCTCTTGTTCCTCTAAGCTCTCTTCCCTCCATTTCCCACAACATTCGATTTCCCAGGTGGGTTTTTGCTCAATCACCTGAAAAAATTCTGGGTTGAATGAATTATTGCCTGTCATAGATCTACTGACCATGATCGTGTCTGATTTCCGTTTTGCTAGGGGAAAGAAACTAGGACAAACAGAAGAATAAAAGAACTAGGAAGGGGGGAAAAGATGGTGGTTGATACGATGAGAATTGCAGTTGATGGCAAGAGATATTCACTTCTGACGATCAAGGTGTGCTCCAGATGGATCCGCAGGCATCCAGTTCTGGTGTCTTCCCTCTGCGTCTTGGTATTTCTGTACAGATCTTTCCCGTTTTGCTTCTCCGTTTTGGTCTCTGCATCCCCTGTTCTGTTCTGCACTGCGATTCTGCTTGGTACCCTCTTGAGCTTCGGGGAACCCCACATCCCGGAAATTGATCTCCATAACCCCGAACTGGTAGCTACTACTAGCACTAGCCACCAGGACGATAGCTTGTTCGAGAAACATGGATTGACGTCGTCGTCGGAGGACCACGTCACTGTGGTTCAGAGAGCGGATAACGAAGTGGGTTCCGTGGTGGAGATGAAGGGTAGTGTAATTGAGGAAGAAGATGGAAGAAGTAAGAGTTGTTCCCCTGTTGTTGTTGTTGAAGAGAAGTCTAGAGAGATTCAGTTTGCAGAGCAAGTGGAGAAAGTGTTCAGCGAGCTGGAGATGAAGTTGAGGAAGAAGGAGGAGAATGGTGGTGGTGTCGGTGAGAATCATCAGTATGCTCGTGTGGGAGACTTGGGAGATAAAGATGATAATGGCAAGTTGGGAAATGGCGAGAATGACGATGGTGGTGTTACTATGTCTGCAGGGGAGTTTCTTGCTTCTCAATCTGGGAATCGGTCAATGGAAGAAAAGGAAGAAGAAGAGTGTGAGGAATGTTCGGAGGATTCGGGGTCTGATGGAGCTGAGAGCTCTTCACCAGATGCTTCAATAGCCGACATTATGCCAATGCTTGACGAGCTTCATCCACTTTTAGACGAAGAAGCTCCACAGCAAGGGCTGATTTCTCGTTATGGCTCTGCTTCTGAAGGATCTCAGCGTAACAGAGATAGTAGCAGTGTTGATTCGGAGGAAGATTCAGGCAATCATGTGGATGAAGAAGAAGAAGAGGAGGAAGGAGTAGAGAGTGAAGGTGCCCAAACTGGTAAAGAGGACGAGAGCAAATCGGCCATTGTGTGGACCGAAGATGACACGAAGAATCTCATGGACTTGGGGACTTCAGAGCTTGAACGGAACCAGAGGCTGGAGAGTCTAATTGCTAGAAGGAGAGCTAGGAGGAACTCAAGAGCTGTGATTGAGAAGGAGAAGAATCTAATAGATTTCGATGGTGGCGGTGATCTTCACTTTAATGTGCCACCCATTTCGACATCTAGACGGAACCCATTCGACCTCCCGTATGATTCGTATGATGATGCTCCTGGTTCTGCTCCTTCCATAATGTTGAAGAGAAGAAACCCTTTTGATTTGCCATATGATTCCGGGGAAGAAAAGCCCGATCTCAAAGGGGAAAGTTCTGATCTGGAATTCGCAGGGTTTCAACATAGGGAACAACAACCAGGGCCAGTGTTCAGGAGGCACGACAGTTTCAATGTTGGGCCCTCATATCTGGGCGGATTTGTTCTTCCTCCTCCCAACAAGCAAGAAAGGCTGGATGTTCTATGGAAACCTTATTTCTTGCCCGAACGGTTTGTTCATAATCATGAAGGAACAACAACAAGCAGCAGCAACTTCCCAGGTGGTTTCCAGAGGCAGTTGAGTGAAATTAGTGAATCGAAGATGAGCTCGATTCCTGATACTGAATCAGTGATTTCGGTGTTGGAAGAAGAAGAGGACAAGAAGAAGCTAATAAGTGAAAAAGATGTACATCACGAGATGGAATCAGAAGAACTGATTGCTAATAATGTTGATACCTCTTCTGTGTTGGTTGAACATGGAAGTCTGTCGTCGTCATCTGTTGACGGCATTGGTGATAATGATGCAGAACCTGATGAAAGGAGAAGAGACGTTCATCATCATCATGAAGCAGATATAGAAGAGGCAAGTATCACTAATACTTTATCAGGTGGTGATGTAGAAAACAATCATGAGATGGATTCACCTTCAGGAGGTCTGATACTATAGTTTCTGTTTTTTTTTTTTTTTTTGTTCAGATGAATACAAGTGAGATCCTGTTGCGAATGGTTGAACCGGACGGTGACGAGGAATATAGCAGTCCGTCAAGTTTGTCATCATCTTCTGAACCAGGTGATGACAAGATAACTGATGGGCAGAAGGTATTATTGACAAATCATGAGATGAAAGTTGAGGTTCCGACAACACAGACCCTGCTCCACGTGAATTCTCATCCTGAAAATGATGGCCCAAGAGTTTCAACAGACACTCTAGACCGTCATTCCATAGGTTCAACGGTGGATGAAAGTAAGCATGAGGAGCCTGTTTTTGACTCGAGTCCCCCGGAACTGGATAAATTTCTCTCCTTTTCTTCGATTTCTTCTGATATACAAGCAGAAATAGCAGAAATGGCAGAGAAGGCATATTTGAGCAAAAAGGGCCTTCTTCAACTTGACCAGGACGATCGACTGGATTTATCCAGTTCTCATCCATCAACAACTGCAGAGCAAGATAAAGAAGTCAAAGTTGTTACGTTGAGATCCAGCAACCATGAAGTACAATGGTCCGAAAAATCCATGGTTGGACCATCTTATGGCAATCATGAACTGCTGGTAAGGGAAAATTCAAAAAAGTTCTGCCTTCTAGTTCCTGCTTCGTCCTTGAATTTTAGAACTTTCAAAAATATCTTCATTTATGGTTTGCTTGTAAGATTGATTCTGTTAGTGTTTGTTAAACTGTGTATCTATGTTTCCATGTTAATTCGAGCTATTTATTAAAAACAGATAGAATTAGTGAGTGATAAACATGAAATGGTCTAAAATTGCAGGAACCATCAGTGAGGAATATAAAGTCTGTTCCCAAGGACAGTGAACTTACCTTAGAGCGTTCAAGTCCAACAGAAGCATTTTGGTCACCTGAATCTGCGGGCAGTTTCAACTTCGAGGAAGATGAAATGAAAGAGATAGATGAAGGGTTACTATCAGAACTAGATACAGTTGGGGATTTTAGAGTCAAAGAAGTTGATGGTGAACAGCAGATTATGTTACAAAATGGAGGAGTCAGTACCAGCGAACCACTAGTCAAACAAACAAGTTCCAACTTGCAAGATGCGGGTACAGAGCATACTCTTGAGAACACAAAGCAGTTGCCTGAAACAGTAGATGAGGATATTCATACCAGGGAGCTTCCCGTTCTAGAAGTTAGATCGACAGAGGATATTGACATGGCTTTCAAACAATTGCATGAAGGAGCTGAAGTTGAGGAGGTCATCCTTCCAAGTACCATTAAGCTGCAGCAGTCACTTGAAGACAAAGATACATTTGGAAGTCCTGATGTGCAACCCTCCACACCCTTGCAAGTTATTGAAGCTAGGTTTGTAGATGATATTCATGTTGCCTTGACGCAACAAGCTCCCAAGGGTAGCGACAAGAACCTCCCAGAACGATCTGATTCATTACAAGTGACTACAGAGGGGACTTCCATGACTGAGCTCCCAGTTCTTGAAGTTAGAACCGCTGAAGATATTGACTTGGCCTTCAAGCAACTGCACGAGGGAGCTGAAGTTGAGGAGGTCATCCTTCCTAGTACAATTAAGCAGCAGCAGTCACTTGAAGAAGAAAATGAGTTTGGAAGCCCTAATGCACAACCCTCTACGCCTATGCAAGTTGTTGAAGCGAAGATTGTCCAAGATATTGATTTTGCTGTTATGCAACGAGCTTCTAAGGGAAGTAGTCACAAGGATCTTCCAGAACCATCCAATTCAGCAAGCAGGCAACTGAGTGAAGATGACCTTTCTATTTCTAATAAAGAACTTCCGGTTCTTGAAGTTAAAACCGCTGAAGATATTGACTTGGCCTTCAAGCAACTCCATGAAGGAGCTGAAATTGAGGAGGTTATCCTTCCCAGTGCAATTAAGCAACAGTCACTTGAAGATGAATTTGGAAGTCCCAATGTGCAGCCCTCTACACCCTTGCAAGTTGTTGATGCAAAGTTTCTAGAAGATATCCATGCTGCTGTGGGTCAACAAGCTTCTAAGAGCAGAGACAAGTGTACTCCACAACCATCAGAATCAACAGCTATACAACCCTCTGAGAAGGAGATTTTTAGCACAGAGCTTCCAGTTCTTGAAGTTAGGACAGCTGAAGACATTGATTTAGCCTTCAAGCAACTTCATGAAGGAGCAGAAGTAGAGGATGTCATCCTTCCAAGTACAATTGAGCAGCAGTCAGCTGATGATGAATTTAGAAGTCCCAGTGAGCAACCCTCTACACCTTTGCAAGTTGTTGAAGCCAGATTCCTAGAAGATATCCGAGCTGCTGTTATGCAACAAGGCTCTAAAGGCAGTGACAGAGACTTTCCAGAATCATCTATAACAGGCTTTCAAGTGACCACAGAGAAGGAGGAGATTCACGACAAGGAGCTTCCAGTTCTTGAAGTGAGAACAGCTCAAGACATTGACTTAGCTTTCAAGCAACTTCATGAAGGAGCAAAACTCGAGGAGGTCATTCTTCCCAGCTCAATTGAGCAGCAGGCAGCAGCAGAGGATGAATTTAGAAGTCCCAGTGAGCAGCCTTCTACTCCTTTAGTAGCTGTTGAAGCCAGATTTATAGAAGATATCCACACTGCCATTATGCACCAAGTTTCTAAAGGTAGTGAAGGGGAGCTTCCAGAACCATCTGATTTTGTAGGCACACAAGTGAAAGCAAAAGAGGTTACTGACAAGGAGCTTCCAGTCCTTGAAGTTAGAACAGCTGAAGACATCGAGGTGGCTTTCAAGCAACTTCATGAAGGAGCAGAACTCGAGGAGGTCATCCTTCCCAGCACGATTAAGCAGCAGTCACTTGAAGATGAATTTAGAAGTCCTGATGAACAACCCTCTACACCTTTGCAAGTTGTTGAGGCCAAACATATAGATGAGATTCATGCTGCTGTGCAGGGACTTGCTTCTAAGAGCAGTGTCCCAAGCCTTCCAGCTCCTTCTGATTCAGCAGAGTCGCAACCAACTGAAGAGCATATTTCTGGAAAAGTGCTTCCACTTCTTGAAGTCAAAACGGCTGAAGACATTGATTTGGCATTCAAGCAGCTCCGTGAAGGAGCAGAAGTCGAGGAGGTCATCCTTCCTAGCACAATTAAGCAGCAATCAGAAGAATATAAATTGGGAAGTCCTAATGAGCCACCTTCTACTCCCTTGCCAGTTGTTGAGGCAAGGTTTGTAGAAGACATTGATGCTGCAGTGATGCATCAATATTCTAAGGGAAGTGCCATGGAGCTTCCAGAAGTTTCTGATTCAGCATTGGGACCAGCAGAAAGCACTCAAGCGGATCATAGTCATCCGAATGATTCTAGGAATCCGGAAGGAGAGCAAGTGCTTCCAGTTCTCGAGGTTAGAACTGCCGAAGACATAGATTTGGCCTTCAAGCAACTCCATGAAGGAGCAGAAGTCAATGAAGTCATAGTTCCCAGTCATATAAAGCAGCGGTCACTTGAGGAAGATGAATTTAGAAGCCCCAATGAGCAACCCTCTACGCCCTTGCAAGTTGTTGACGCGAGATTTGTGGAAGATATCCATACCGCCGTCATGCAACATGCTTCCAAGGATAATGACAACGAGGTGCAGAAAACCTTCTGATTCTGCCAAAGAAATGGCAGCCCGACTGGTTTGGAGACGAATGGGCAACAACCCAGTTCAGTTGCTTCCCTGTCCGTGTTGTTTCAAGCAATTCCAACATGGAAGATTAAAAACAAACGCAGAGCAAAAAAGATGGAATATTTTGTGGGTTTGAGTTTTTCTCCCCCATTTTTGGTTTAATGGGGGTATTCGTGATTTTTTTTTGGCGGAGTATTTTTGGCTTAGTGATTGATTGGTTTTGATTTCTTTGTACTTTTGGCATAGTTTGCAAGCTTTTTGTATTTTATTACTACGTAGTTTTCTCAGGAAAATATCTCAAAATACACATATGTTTCTAATTTTTTTTCTTCAAAATATACACGATTTATGACAGTAAGTATCTTTTTGAGCTCTTGATTCCTTCTCGTAATCAGTAAGTATCTTTTTGAGCTCCAAACTGTGGACCTGGCAAAAAAGATATTATCGTCAATAAAAACAAGTGATACTACCGGGGCTCCTCTTGTCACCTGGATCCCATGAAGCCTCTTCTCTCTAACCGCTAGAGCAGTGTAGGGTGAGAGGCTCTCTGCACAGATGAGAAAGAACTACGGGGATAGCGGATCTCCTTGCAGAAGACCGCGACCCGAAATAAACGGTGGAGACTGGTGGTCATTTACAAGCACCGAGTAAGACACCGAGCTGACACAGAGCATGGCCAAAGAGATCCAGCTCTCGTCAAAACCCATGCGCCTCATGACACCCGCTAGAAACGACCATTTCACCATATCATATACTTTCGCCATATCAATCTTTGCTGCCAGATAGCCAGAGAGACCCTTCTTCTTTTTCATTGTGTGGAAGCACGCGAAAGCAGCCATAACATTGTCAGTAATGAAACACCCTGGCACGAAAGCGATTTGCTCAACATATATGTTCTTATCCAAAATCAGCTAATGTCGATTTGCTTGAACCTTCGTCGCCAATTTATAGTGTGTTACGCAGGCTAATCGGTCTATATTCCTTAGGGTTGACCGGCGCCTTCACCTTCGGGATCAACGCAATGAGGGTGTGGTTCATCCCTTCTGGAATACACCTTTGTTCAATAATCTCCTTTACTGTTTGAGCCACATCATCCCCCATTATACCCCAATGCCTCCTGAAGAAAAGAACTGACATACCATCGGCCTTGGGGGCCTTCCTTTGTCCCATTTGCTTAAGAGCACGAAATACTTCCTCCTTCTCCACCTCTCGCAGCAAACTATCATTATCTTCTTGGTTTACTGACGCTGAACTGAGTTCATCACTGGAGTCGATTCTGGTGGTACTCTAGCGGTAAACAGCTTGCTATAGTAAGTGTACATGCAGTCGAAGTCCTGATCCTGCCCAACATACCACATGCCCAAATCGTCCCGAAGCTTCCGTATCTTATTCCTTTTCCGTCGAGTAGTGGCCTTCCTATGAAAGAAATTTGTATTTTTGTCACCCCCAGTTAACCAGTCCGCTCGCGATATTTGCTTCCAATAGTTTTCCTCATTCTCCTCCAGCTCGGCCAGTTCCTCTTCAAGTTTTTGCTTTTGATCAAGAACACTAGGAAAGCTGGTCGAGCTATCCAACACATTCATTGCTCGCTGAATTTTCACGCTGCACACCAAACTTTGGAAAAATCCTTCTGCTCCACTCATTCAACTTCCTCCTACAGCTGTTTATTTTTTCCTACGTGCTAGCTCCACCCTGACCAAGCCATGCTTCCTCAACATTTTTTTTTTGCATTCTTCATGTCTCACCCAGTGAGGCTCAAACCGGAAACTCCACCCTCGCTTAGGTTCCTCGTCCTCCGCTCCCCATTGTGTCACATATAATTGGCCGATGGTTCGATCTCGATCTTCAAGATGAAGCACCCGCCCATCAGGAAATAATTGTAGCCATTGTTGTGTCGTCACGTACCTGTCCAACCATTCCTCAATAAGGCTATTCGCCTGTCTGCTGTTTGACCACGTATAGCGATAGCCCTCATACCCCAAACCACTCAGCCTTGCATCCAGTAAACATTCATGAAATCGATCATCTCCACTTTCATAGTAGCTCGTCCCCCACTCTTCTCACTGGCCGACAGAACTTGGTTAAAGTCCCCCCCCCCCACTCAGCCAAGGCCCAGTCCATTGTCCCGCCAGCCTGCGAATAAGATCCCATGTCTGAAATTTGTCCTCCCTCTCCGACATGCCATAGATACCGGTAAATATCCAAGTAACATCGTTAACTTCCTCTATCTTTGTATCCAGATGATGTAGCGATGAAGACATAACCGTCAAGTTAACTTCTTCCACCCACCATATACACAAATCACCAGCTCGACCTCCTCTAGAAGTGTCCGTTGGCCAACATTCAGCATGCTGAAAACCCATCTCCTTTTGAGTAACTTCATTCTCATCCTTAGTCTGTTTGGTCTCCATCAAGAAAACCACTTGCGGGGAAGCTTGTCGCAAAAGTGACTTCAGAACTCTAGCTGCATGCTTGCTTTCCAGTCCGTGACAGTTGTAGCTAAGAAGCCTCATTGATGACCTAAAGAGGATAGGTTCCCCGCACCATGAAGAGTAGTTTTATCAGCTCCATTCTGCTTGATGCCATTCCCTTTCATCAACTTCCCAACTTTTTTCGAGGTCTCCTTCCCACTTTGCAGTTTGCGCTCCCACATTATTTTCATTTCCATGCTTCATCACATTTTCTCATATCTTTTCTCTTGTGTTCGCTGCTCCAGTACAGTACCCAATGAACCTGCCAGTTTGCCTCCCGTCTTACCATCACCTCTGTTGGAGCTATTATTGCCCCTTGTTTTATTCTGGGTCTTCTCCTGCCTTCCTTTCAGATGTTGGGCATTAGGCTCCATCTTCTTATTTGCACTCGTCTTTCCATTCATCCCCTCATCCCCCATCACTTTCTCCTTCTCGCTTATCGCATTTCAACTTTCTCCCGCATGGTTCACATCGGTGGCACGCTGCATGGGAACCTCCTCCGTTTTGTCAACATGCAGGACGTGGAAACAATTTTTCCGGCGCATGTTGTTCTATCCACTGTACCGTGCTCGCCTAATAGGCACACACTCCCTTCTTTTAACCGTCACCCACTCCCCAAATACTCTCCCGTCGGTGGGGTCATGCCGTTGAGTCTCCGGTGCTTTTTCTACTTCCTCCGCTGCTACTTCCGTATTCATAATTAGGCATTCACAATGACTTGATGGTTTACCGTACTTGCCGCACTCCCCACATATATTCTCAAGCCCCTTATACTGAATAAAGTACGTAATCCCCTCTACTTTGTATTGCGACAATAGTGGTTTCGTCTGATCCACTTCCACACATACCTTCGGGAATTTTGCCCTCGCACCCATAGCCGTTGCACGATCAACGCGTATCGGTCTACCAATCAGTTGAGCTATATGCATCACCGCCTCCGCATTCACAAACTCCATAGGTAATTCCGGCAACTGCACCCAGACAATGGTAGACTTTACTTCTGTCTTCCAGAGATTGAAGCCCTTAAACCAACGGTGAACGGTGAGGTAAGTATCACCCAATAGCCATGGGCCACCAGACGTTGCCAATTCATAATCCGAGCAAGACCTGAATCGCACCATAAAGCACCCGTTCTTCATATCCGTGATCTGTAGGTCCCTGTTTCTAGCCCATAGATAATTCAATCTACGTGATAGCGCCAAATAGGGCACCCTTCTTCCCAATCCCTTAACCATTAGAGCATATCTCCACTCTCGACGCCAGCAAATCTTTTCTGCAGCTGTACGTGAAGAGGGCCGGCGGACACTTCGGGTCGTATTCTTCTTCCAACACCAAATCATATTCTTCTCGTTCCTGAGCGACCACATCCTCGGAGTCCGAGTCTTCAATATACCATCCTTCATCCCTCACCGGCTCATTGAACAGTTTCCTGGGTGCGCCGTCCCAGGCAAAAGCTTTCTCCATCGACGGTTGAGAATCCTTTAGTGTTTCAGTTTCCATCTCCGAGTTGGTATCCATCCTACCCCTTCCTAGTCCAGATTCAAACCCCGTACTCGTTTTTTTGGGTTTGCACGGTCTCCTTCTCGCTTTTCCCATCAGGAGAGGAAGATGCCGTGGCTGGCCACCAGCTACCACTAACATCAGGAGGCTTATCTATCGAGGTCGACAGTATCAAAGACGGTTGCGCCGCCATGGATTACGAAAAATCAAAGCAAGAAAAAAATGAAGGTTTCTTTCCGAAAAACTCGGAGCAAACCCTAACGCTCCGTTATTGATGTTGTTGCAAGCAATACCTATATGGACTTTGCTTGCTAGCCTTCTCTCCCTCCTCCTTTGCTTTGATAAAAAGGGAACATGAGAGAGTAGGTGAAGTTAATTATCCTTTATAACAATAAAGTTAATAATTGAATTAATAGTTAATTTTATTTTGTGTTGGGAAGCAAATTGAAAGGGGAAAAAAATATGCATGTATGTGTGTCCCTCTCATTTCTCTCCCATTTAGAGGGAGGGTTCAACAGTAGCAATAGCAAGAATAAGAAGTTTTCCTTCCTTACCCATTTTCCTTCCACTAAAAAACAAGAAAAAGTGTATTGCAAGTCCAACTTTCCTTCCCCAATTTTCCTTTCCCTCCTTTTCTCTCCTTAAGAAACATAGCGTGCATATATTATGGTTCGAGAAATCAATGAGCATTGAGAGCTCTCAGATTCTTGAAAGCGGGTGATGGACGACGGCTGCTGCTTATCTCATGTATTCATTAGAGCTGCTTCGAAGAACACCCGGAAATTGGCAGTTATAGTTGCTGCACCGTCGAGAACTGGGCGCGGCGGCGATCGGGTTGCAACCGTCGTTGGCGTCGAACCTGACGATTCTTCTTCTCCAACTCATTCGAGACCGCTGGTGTATGAAGGCGACGAGACTTTCACGTTCGGTGATCTAGTGAAGTCTGTCGAGTATCTCACTTTTCGGCTCCGATCAGTTCTCGATGGCGACAGCGGCGACCCTCAACTCTTCTGCTCCCAAAGTTTACCAGGTAATTGCCATCAGTTAGTCTTCCTTTTGTAAACCTAGAAAAACAACTGAAACTGTGGTTACAATCTGGAAACCCCAAAAAAGGATCGATTTTTGCTCTCTGAAAAAGGGAAGTGTCTCGAATTCCATAATATCCTGAATCTAAGAAGGAAACAGGAGTAAACTCAGCAAATATTTCCTACTGTTGTGGGCATTGTAGGGAACAGCAATCAAAGGGACCATGGACGTGGTGTCACTGAATTCTCAGGACCGGAGGATGCTGCCGAATCAAATAAGGCTTATCAACCAAAGATACTCGGAATCTACATGCCACCATCTGTGGAGTACATAGTGTCTGTTCTTTCGGTCTTGAGATGTGGGGAGGCATTCCTGCCACTTGATCCCGGGTGGCCGAGGGACAGAATACTGCAAATTATTTCTGCTTCCAGTGTTGACCTAATCATCACTTGTGCTTCCTTGTTTGAAGAAGATGGTTCAGATGAGCCTAATAAACTTGATTGGCTTGCTGCATCAAGTGGATGTCCCATATTGTTCTTTACAATGAGTGAAAGCCTTAAGGAGTGTGTTTCTCCCTCGGGGTTGGTTTTCCTTTGCCAGAGGGATGCACAGAGGCTATTCTGCTATGTGATGTATACTTCTGGGTCAACCGGGTTCCCGAAAGGTGTTTGCGGTACTGAACAAGGTGTGGTTTCTGTGCTCTAATTGTTCTGTGTGGATTGCCATTCTCTTAGAGTGGGCTATACGATAACTACTTTTGATAATCTTTTTGGTGGTTGTTTTTCCCCCCCCTGAAAGGTCTGTTGAATAGGTATCTGTGGATGCAAGACCTCTATCCCGTGGACAGCAACGAGATTTTGATCTTCAAAGCATCAATTAGTTTTATTGATCATCTGCAAGAATTTCTGTGTGCTATGCTTAGTGCATGTACAGTGGTCATCCCTCCTTTCATGGAACTGAAACAGAATCCTTCTTCTATTGTCAACTTTCTCCAGGTCGATGCTTTTTCTCATGTTTAGTCTGTTTTGGCTGAAGCTTATTTAATTGACCAGACCTTTCCTTATGTTTCAATCAATTAACAGTGTGCACTCTTTCCTGTAGGCTTACAGTGTCAATAGGCTTACCACTGTTCCTTCACTGATGAAGACAGTCATTCCAGCTTTGCAAAATGAATATGAGTTGCAAATTCAAAGGTCTTTGAAATTACTAATTTTAAGCGGGGAAGTATTTCCTTTGCCCTTGTGGGACACGCTTTCTAAATTACTTCCGAAGACCTCTATTTTGAATGTGTATGGGAGTACAGAGGTAAGACACCCACATTATCCAATCTGCGGCTGTACATTATAAAAATATAGGGTGTAGAAGAGCTTTGTGCATTTGTTTATCATACAAACATTCATTGTGTAGAGTTTTTTTTTTTTTCATTTTCCACTTGTTATTGACTGTAGTGTATATATTGTTCTTGGTGGCGGCTGAGTGTTTAGTGAAATCTGCATATCTTTTATCTATCTTGATCTGTCATATGGATTTGCTTGAGTTTTTGTGCTGGAGCTAACACAAAAATTATTTTATAAAGGTGTCTGGAGACTGTACATACTTTGATTGCCGAAGTTTGCCAATGATACTGGAAACGGAGGAACTAAGCAGTGTTCCAATTGGTGTGCCTATAACTGGATGTACAGTTGAAATAATTGGTGAAAATGGTGCTCTGGATGAGGGAGAAATCTATGTCGGTGGTCTCTGTGTTTCTGCAGGTTACTTTTCGAATTTGACTGTCGTGTCTTCTGACTTCGTAAAGTTGCATGAGAGTTCCATCTCTAACTGTTCCTCGGATAATCGTGGAGCTCTGTTATTCCACAGAACTGGTGATTTTGGGAAAAAGCTTCAATCTGGTGACTTAGTTTTCTTGGGAAGAAAAGACCGAACTATAAAAGTGAATGGGCAACGAGTAGCTTTGGAAGAGATTGAAAGTGTGCTCAGGGTACATCCTCATATTATTGATGCTGCTGTGGTTTTCAATGATGGCCCAGGAGATGGTTTGTATGTCAAGGCATTTTTAGTGTTAAAAGATAGAGACTTCTTTCTCCCTCATGTGAAGTCTTCAATTAGAAGTTGGATGATTGACAAGGTTCCTCTAGCAATGATCCCTAACAGCTTCTTGGTCATCGAATCATTACCCATATCTTCCAGTGGAAAAGTTGATTATTCTTCTTTGGAGACTTCAACAGTTTCAACCAACCATGATCAGATTGAGGCGGACAATGCTGGCAATAGCAATCTCTTGCACATTATCAAGAAGGTTTGTCCATCTTTCAGATCATAATAGAACGTTATTGAAAAGACTTCATTTACTTCTTCTGCAAGTTGCTTTATTGGGAGTGTGACTAAACTGTCTTTCACTATCAGGCATTTTCTGAGGCACTGCTGATTGAAGTGGTTTCTGGAGATGACGACTTCTTTTTACTGGGTGGGAATTCAATCACTGCAGCAAATGTTTCTTATGGGCTAGGGATCAACTTGAAATTGCTTTACAACTTTCCTACTCCATCTAAACTTCATGCTGCTCTTAGTAAACGGCAAATATGCAGTAGAGATGTTGTACCTGGAGCAGAAGCAGATCATTCAGACAGTTTGTCTTCACTTGATTCTAGGGCTTCTTCTCTTGTAACCCTTAAACAGAAATGGCATCTGAGGAACCCTCCTGATAAAAATGGAAGCCATATTCCTCCATCTAAGCAGCTCAAGTTGAGTTTGGATGAGAGTTGTTCTGCAAAATCTGCTAGTTTAAATAATGAACATCTTTGGGCAGCCTGGATCCCGACGTGGCACATTTTCAGCCGGTGCAACAAGGTAATGCACGAGGGAGAATACAAGTTTGACAATCAACACCAGCTAATTTTCCGGGCTGATAGCATAAAGAAGAGGAAACATTCTTGTTTGAAGAAGTTCTGGAAAGTCAATATGAAGTCCTGTGTTGATGCATCTCCACTTCTGGTGTTCAAGGGCAAAGATGTTTACTTGCTTATTGGATCTCATTCACATAAGTTCATTTGTCTAAATGCTAAGAGGTACGCACTGCTTTGTGATGGGGTCCAAGAATCTTATGGCAACAGCAGGTTCATTTTTATTTGATTGAAATCCTGTGAGAGTGTACTGAGTGGACGTTTTTTATGTCCCGAGAACCATACTAAGAAGAGTAGGAGAAGAATTAGAATTCAAGGAGATATAGGTTAATATATTAATAGTACAAATGTTAAGGATGATAGATCAGATTGGTTTCAGATAGTATAGTTAGAGATAATAAGTTCAAGATTGTTGGTGACATGATTGTGACACCAACGTTGAAGAAATTTTGCTAAACAGGATGTTGATATCTAAGTTGCATGTAAATTGAAGTCATTTCAATTGTACTTCTACCTAAGAGGTTTCTCTTTGGATCGCTCCAATCAAACTCTGAATTTTTTTGATATGGAGTTTCTTCATGTTGTCAATCTGAGACTTCTCATTCTGCATTTTAAGTAGTGCTAGTTGAATGAAGCTCCCTGAAACGATATTCTTAGTAGGACAGAGCTTTACTGGTGACAGATAGTCCTGGAGAGCATCACTTCAGATTAGCATTTGTTACATTTAGTTTTTCTATTGCATTTACATTGTCATGGTACCTTATATTTCTTGAGTGATGATGTATAACATTCATTATTTGTATAGTGGGTCTGTCTTGTGGGAGGTCAAACTAGGTGGAAGAATCGAGTGCTCCGCTGTGATCATTGTCGACTATTCTCAGGTTACTGTTCTTGCTGAATAAGCAACCTTGTTATTCGAACTTTTCATTAATCACTGGAAGCTGGCTAATATTCAATATGTAGGGCTATCTCATCAGGTGGTCGTTGGGTGCTATGAGGGAAAAGTTCATTTTCTAGATCTTTTCAGTGGCAATGTGTGTTGGACTTTCCAAACTGGTGGTGAGGTATGGCATTAAAATGAATTTCGCTGCATTTTTCTCCCTTGTTTAATAGCGCCTGGTCACATCTGTTCTGAACTTTTGACTTTTATGATAAGCATTGGTTGCTATATCTTTTTTTTGTTAATGGTTTGCTATATCTTATTTGCATTGCTGATGCCAATTATGTGATGATTGCACAGCGTTTTCATTATGGCAATTAATAGGTCGAACAAATGTAAGTAAGTTGTCTTTGTACCAGAATTAGGAAGATGTGAAAGGAAGGAACATGTTGTAGCATCCTCTTGAAATCACATCAACAACTATATTCATAGCACTAGGGCATTAAGAAGCTCGTTGTGGGAACCCATTGGAAGAATAATGAGAAGTCTATTTAAAGGCATTGGCTTAATCGAGGGTATCAAGTAGCTAGGTTATAAGTGAGTTATGGTAGATATAAGTTTACTGAAACTACCACAGTATTGAGACAAACGATTTCCATGAAACTCGGCTTTGATTTTTCATTTGTAGAGGTCTTCTGTTGTCCTTTTACACTCTTGTTCAAAAAGCTTTCAGCATTCTGTTCCTGTTGTTAATATAAAATACTTTCCCCCGACATTTGAAGGTGAAGTGTCAACCAGTGGTGGACGTGCATAGACAAGTAATCTGGTATAATCTTCAGTATCTTTGTTCAGTTCTTAATGTCATTGTCTTTCCTTGATTGTTAAGGCCTGTTCAGCTTGGTTTTACTTGTTAAGAGAGGTAGGTCAAGTTTTCTTCACTTGCATGACAGAAAGACTGAAGGTTATTGTGGTTAACTTTTGAGTGGGTTGGAATAAGTAACTATCAATATCAAAGGAAGGGTAACTAGTTTCTTCTGCTCGAGTCACAAGTAAATGGGAGGGAAGAAAGAGTAAAAAATATTCCAAACCAGCACTCAATCTAGTAGAGATACTCAATATTTCAATTTTCATGTAAAAAAGATATCTTAAATTGATGCCTAGTGCATGTTCTGTGAACCTAAACACTACCTATTTGTTCGTTTACCGGGTTCAGCACGAATCATAAATAAGCTCTACCATGGATTGCCAAGAATTTGGTACTGAGGTTCCTCAGTTTTTAGTAACAAAATGAATCTCTCTTTTTGGTTGGGCACGCTATATGAACTTTGACATATTGCTTTAAGACGGGAATTTTAAGAATTGAACCCTGGAAATTAAATGAAGTGCAGGTTACCGTGTGTTATTCACCAATTATTTCAAAGTTCCCCTTTAGATGGCATTGACTTTGGGAAGAAATTTGCAGGTGTGGTTCACATGATCACAACTTATATGCTCTTGACTACAAAAGCCAGCGCTGTGTATACAAGCTTGAATGTGGTGGCAGCATCTTTGGGTCTCCTGCCATTGATGAGGTGATTATTGCTTTTCAGTCTTCGTATCATTTGCTCATTTCTTTCTCATTATGGAGAATGCGTAGAAAGATGTAGTAAGCATACAGTTCAGCCTGCAATCACTTTCAAGTTATTTTGAACTCACCTTCCATTTGACTATTTGCTGTAGGTCCATAAACTCCTCTATGTCAGTTCTACTAGTGGTCGTGTAACAGCTACATGCCTAGAGGTATGACCATTGACAGGTTTGTCCTTGTTTTTCTCATCCTGGGAGTTCTTTTTTGTTTAACATTACATGGCAATGTCTCGCGTCGCGTCTCAATGATAATAATATTGCCAGCAGCATTCACTGTGCATGTGACCAGCTTTCTACGCTGCTATTTTATAAATTTGAATTTACCAAGTAGTAGGATTTCTATGGTAGCTTACAGATTTGGATGGAATGGACGAAGCATTATTCACGTGCATGATGATTAAATGACAAAAAATTGAGCTGGTGTGCTGGGGAGAAAGCTTGCACATTTTTACCCTACACTAGCTCAATAGCCCCTCCCTGTGAGTCAATATCAATTCCGGGTAGTGTTTTAATCGACAGTATTTGCACTTGTAGCTGATCATTGGGTCAGCCTGCCACCTCAAGTGCTCCTACCCAAATTTGTCTGCATCTGCATAAAGAACTGTGCTGACTATTTTCATCGTCATGCTTTGCTCAGTATACATGATCCTGAGCCCCAAAATAAAATACAAATACTTGTTTGTTTTCTTCTGAAATCTCACGAAACAATCTTCTGTACAAATACAGGCAAACCCGTTTTATAGTTTGTGGAAGAAAGAGCTAGAGGTACCCATTTTCGGATCACTTTCAGTTGATTCTCGAAGTGGGAATGGTATACAAGCGCCTCATCATGCTGCTATGCACTTTCAGTTGATCGTTCACCATCTTTAGATTTCTTACATGCTCTTTTTTGCTGCAGTTATATGTTGCCTAGTGGACGGTAACATTGTTGCCCTGGATTTTAGTGGTTCCATTTCGTGGAAGGTACCGATTCTTCTTCAGATGTTCGACTTCATGTAGTCCTCTTCTTGCGGCTGGATTTTGCTTCCCTCTTGGGTCTTTGCGTTCAATTTCATAGTGATGGTTGTTTTCTTCAGATTACAATTGGTGGTCCTATATTTGCAGGAGCCTGCACATCTTTGGCTCTTCCTTGCCAGGTAAAACATATTCTCAATTTTTCATTCAGTATCTACCAGTAGTTTAGCTGCATCAGTGTATTCTATATTTCTTGTAACTCGGAAACTCGTTTCTTCAAGAAGATCCTGCAGTGCCTGCACTCCAGCTTATCATTCATTAACTGTTTTTTTATCTATTGCCAGCCAGCACTGTCCATCGTTAACTCTGGAAAACCTACCCCCTTCTACAAGTTGTCTCTTCACGACGAACTGTCATTGCTTGGTTGTGATTAAATTACTAAGATCCCACCCCCTACCCTCAACCATGTCAACTAATCGGCTATTGTTAAGTCCACTCCCCATCAGCCTTTTGTAAACTTGTAACCAAGCGGCTTATTAGCATCATTTCCATCTTTCAAACTGCTTTTACAACTGATTAATATCTTCAATCCAGTTTAGGAAGTAACTTGAATTCCTCTGCAATATTTTTTAGAGATTTATGATCTATAGATTTTGGCAGGTGCTTATATGTTCCAGAAATGGAAGCATATACTCCCTAGATATGGTAAGATCCTAATAGTTCTATACTCTTTCAATTGACATCTCTGAGAAGATCATATTTTACAATAATCTACGCAGTCTGTCCGTCTAATCAGCTTTGCTTCCCCAACAGGAAAATGGTGATCTCATCTGGGAACACCAATTAGGCGATCCGGTTACTGCATCTGCTTACGTAGATGAGCACCTGCAGCTGTTGGTGTCTGGTTCCGCCTCCCCAGTTTCATCAGACCGGTAACTTTGACCATCTTACTTTACTTTACCCACCCACAGAACTTGGATAAGATCAGATCTGTCCGAACATGATTACGGTGTGTTCTCGATTCCATGGATCGTCTTAATAAAAAACGAAAGTAAGAGCGGGTCAGATGGGATCAAATGCGCTATGAATCTAATACACTAGTCTTTGTTTGCTTCCTTTATTTGATCCGGTACAATTCCGAACTGGACTGAACAGGATCATGCTCACCCACAGTACCACTGACATTGCTAAAGATCTATCTTCATATTTCCCCAGGTTGATTTGCGTGTGTTCTAGTTCTGGAACCATACATTTGCTTCAGGTTAAGATGGATGATGTGGAGAAACCCCAAAAAGGCTCCCGGGTTCACGAGTTTGCACGGCTTGAGCTCCCGGGAGACATTTTCTCATCCCCGGTGATGATCGGGGGCAGGATCTTCGTGGGTTGTAGAGATGACTACGTGCATTGCATTGCAATTGATGCTGAGAGTTTGGCAGGGGAATGTGATGATGATGATGAGTGAGTGATCAACCCAGTCGAACAAATATCGTCCCACCTTGAAACTGTTTGGAACTGCCTAACATGCAGTAGTTCAACCTGTAAATTGTGGTTCATCATATTATGGTATGAAAAACCTCAGATCTTGCCATGTAAATGTTAGCTTGTGGTTCCCATTTTCCCATACACACTCTCTCCTACAATGCTTCAAATAATATTTTCGGTTATACAGCTGACTCTCACTGTTGCTAGCGGGCCCAAAAAGTTAAATTCAGTGGTAAGCATTGGCTTCTTCTGAAGGCGTGGATAAAATATGAAAATATCCACACCACCGAAATCTAGCTCTTACGTACGCCACAGTCTCTTTTCTCCCTCCATTTCAGTGGCTTACACTATAATCGCCAACTACCCTCCGGCAGCCGCCGAAATGACGGCGGGGATAAATCATCGGTTGGATTCTTCCTTTCTCTGCAACCATTTTCGATGAGCATTACATGCAATACGAAGTGACTGTCCATTATGAAGTCGATGATAAGAAGCAGGAATCTGGCTGCTCCAAAACCACACAGTATCCACCACTCGGATAATAATCCGATCAAACCCATCTGGTCTGTGATGAATGAATGATTCCAGCATTTTCCATTTCCCCAGAATTTGCTAATGGAATGTGCGCTTGAATCTTATTAATCAGATTAGCTTGATTCTGCTTGTTCTTTGTTCTTTTACCTGCGTCTTCAGGGGAAGGATTAATGCAGCTGTCGGAGGAAGCAGCACCACAACGGTGCTGCGGGTCAGCAACTCGGCATCCAAGACAGCAAATTTGTCGGCGGCGAGAAAGGAAAGGGTAAAGCTCGACCCCCAGGGTTCCAATTCCGGCGGCGGGTATGAGATCGGCGACTTCCTCAGCCACTCGTCAGGGATCAAATCCATATTGAACGACAAAGCATTGCAGAGCTTTGAATCCCTTGATCCCAACACTTACAGGTGCATTCTTCCCAAACTCAAGCTCCTCAACATCGAAGCCACTCCTGTGCTGGACTTGCGAGTTACCCCGACTCATGAAGATTGCACCATCGAGATGCTTTCTTGCAAGGTCAGTTTTTTAACGTTTTGGGTGCAACTGTGCAAAAGATTGAAGCTTGAATGAATCATGGGTTCATGCCATTTTGTTATACTGCTACTGATACGAGTGATAAATTCTCCATTTTCAGCTCCAGGGTTCGGATGTTGTAGAATACCAGAATGAACATTTTTCAGGTCCCTATCCTTCTCCTCTTGTTCTTGATTCGAATGTGCAAATATGGTTTAGTAACACAATAATGGCAGGGTAGATAAAAGTTGCCTTTGCGTTGCCCTGTGAACTCCTTTCAGTGGCCAATGTTCTATCTGACTTTTCCCTCGCAAAATTGCAGCTTTCATGGTGAATCGGATGACATGGGATACAGATAACCCAGAACCATTTTTGGAGGTTGATGTGAAATTGAATCTCACACTTGAGGTTAGTTGGTTAGTGCCGTAGCTGGAGCAACATCCTAGTTCAAGCTTCAACAGAAATTTCGAACACGTTATGTGAAAGATTCTTATACTGTGTCAGTTATCTTAGTTCTGATCCCAGAACAATGAACATGGATATTAAAAATGGCAGCAGACTAGCTTGATGTAACTTTTGAAGGAGTTGCGCATCGAATTTTGCTGTTGTATATTCTTATAATAATCTCCATTTGGTCTACAGATCTACACGCAGCCCTTCACGCTGCTGCCCGTATCTGCTGTCGAGGGTCCTGGAAATTTGTAAGTGAACTTCGCTGCTGCGATTTCCAGTTGACGTTCAAAGAGTTGATGTTTATTGCTTTGTAGCCATTTACAGTCAACAAAATGTGATATGCTGGTGGGGTAAATGGAATATGCAGAGTGATGCAAGCTCTAGTGGACAGGTTGGTTCCCTTGCTACTGGAGCAGCTGCTGCGGGACTATTACGATTGGGTTGAGAAGCAGAAACAGCCTGGAAGCATCATCCCATGAGTTTGTTTCCTTTCTTTACTTGCATTGCCGGGAGAATGAATGGTGGCTTTGGAACTCTTGGAAGGTTCCCACCAGGCGATGATCTGACTGCTAGTTTGATGGCAAAGTATCTACGTTCTTGTCTGCTGGTGGTAAATGGTGCAGTGTCATCCTATCCAGACTGTACAGAGAAAGGCGGAGAGGGAGATTTTTCACTTGATTCTCACCATTGTGTGCTGAATATACATGGTTTAGGGGGTTGCATGACCTGCAAAGTTGGAGGAAGGAATGCTATTTGATCCATTCACCTGGTTTACTGGGTTTTAGATAGTCAGACTCCTTGTTGCATATAGTTATTTGTCGTCTTTAAATGCGTTAAATTCGAGTTCTCTTGATGTCCAAACTACTATGCCAAAAACCAGCATCATAGTTTTAAGCAGAGCTGTACCGAAATCCTTGAGAATATTTTCATCAAATTTGAGAATAGTCATGTTCTTAGTTCTCCAAACATAATTTTTCCGAACGGAAGGAGAAGAATGAAAAAAATTTGGTGATTCAACGAAAAAAAAAAGGTGTGTTTTCAAAACATTTTTTGTTTTGTTTTGTATGTATAAACTATAATATGTTCTTCTGTTATTAATTTTTATCAAACATCTCCTCTACTATTTTTCAATCAAACATATTTTTTTGTACTTTAAAAATATTATCAAACATATCATCGTGTTAAAATTTCCATCCAAAAACTGTCAACGGCGGTCGAATCGTGGTTCGAACAACCTCGCATTGGCAAAATGGGAGGATTTGTCAATTTTGCCCCTCCGATTATTTTTCTAAGTCTCATTAAACTGGTATTATTAGAGGTATTGAGCTATACAAGAACAACCTCGCATTGGCAAAATGGGAGGATTTGTCAATTTTGCCCCTCCGATTATTTTTCTAAGTCTCATTAAACTGGTATTATTAGAGGTATTGAGCTATACAAAAGAAACAAAAATGTTAAAGTGAAATTATTAGTGGCATTTTAAACATTTGTGTTGGCCAAATCACGATTCGACCATGGTTAACATTATTTGTTTACAAAAACTTTAATAGAAGGAAATATTTGATAATGTTTTTAAAGTAAATAGATATATTTTATATGTAAAAATAGTAGAGGGTTACGTTTGATAGAAAAATTGCATAGTAGATGAGCATACTGTAGCTACAACCCTATTTTCTGTGAAGCATGAAAAATCTCTAGTGCATTTCCAGACAAGGTTGTCAACCAGTTTATATAGTTATGCTATTTTAGTTATTGATATGATATTACCAGGATACAATCGATGTATGCTAATTTTCACAAAATTATGTAGGAAAAGTGAAAACTTATAACGCCAAATAAACTACGTATTTATATAATTCATCTCAAGACAATCTCTCTAAACTGCATCCATATTTATAAAAAGCACAATATTACAAACAAAATGATAAATCATATTTAAATACAATATTTAACATCAACATCCTAATATTTATACTTGAATCCAACAAATAATATAAACATTCATACTTAAAATAAAACACACCATTACAAACGAAATAAAAATTCTCGTATTTAACTCCATTCTTTTTTTATTAATTAAATTTATCAAAATAAATTCATTTTGTTATGGACTAAAAAATTAGACATGTCTCGGACCACTGAATTCTTCAGTATTTACCGATTTTGACTACTACTTCATACGGGGTATTCCAACTGGTTTATTTTCGATACTTGTTGAACCTGGTTGTACCAGTGGACATACCATTGGTTTAACAATCATGTTTCCAGAAAATATAATAGGAAGTATGTCATCCTGTAAAGCCGGGTTCAACCGATATTGAACAAAAATCTCTAAGAAGATCATCAATATGAAGCGGTAATCAAAATTGGTAAACAAGTATCAAAACTGAGAAATGAGTGATCGACCATAGCGGTCAACTTTTCCATCTCTAAAGAAAATGACGCAGTTTTGTGGAATTAACTAACAAAAGAAAGAAATTATCGGATTCAAGTATGGACATTTATATGCTGATGTTATATGTTGGATTAAGTATAAATATTTAAATATTAGGTAACGACGAGTGTACGTCAGGCGTATAGTATACAACAGGTGATCTAACCGTTAGATGTACTTAGATGAGCTCCAACGGATCTCAACAATCAATTTTTGTTTTTCATTAAATCAAACTTCGGGTTGGGGTTTAGAAAATCGGTGAATGAGGTTAATCCATTAGAGGTTACGGTATAGTATCATACCCCAAACTCGATTTAATTCATGGTCTAGATAGAGATATCTCACTAGTAGTACCCGACGTACGCTAGTCTGACCCTTAGATATTAACATTAAATATTGCATTTAAATATGATGTGTTGTCCTTTTGTTTGTAATGAGTATTTTATTTAAATATGGATGGACTTTAAAGGTAAATTGTTTTATGAAAGATTATCTAAGAGTTAATAACATTTTTGGCCCCTGAACTATAATATTTTTCCTATTATCGCCCCTTGAACTAATTGTTTTCCTATCATTGCCCCTTAAAGTACAATTTTTTTTCCTAATCCGGTCCTTATCGTTCAAAGTTCATTAGTCTCCGTTAAATTGAGACATATCTAAGCATTGACTCGGGGCTCATGCGCATAAAAGTCCTGATGGTTGCAAAAATATTCCTCAATATTTTTAACCCCCTCCTTAACCAATCCCTTCCATGAGTTTTCCCTTATAATTTTCAATCAAAATCTACAAATAGGTCTATCTTTGATCAAAACTGAAAAATATTAGATAGTAAGGATAACTTTGTAATTACATGAGTTTTTTTTACTGTGTCAACGCTTAATTAGGCATGTCCAGTTACAAATTGGGTCCCCATTCAACATAATATTAACTGTCTTTTAACAACATTTGTCACAATAAGAAGGCCTGGGTTCCTATGCTTAAGCCCAAAAGCTTAAGCATATTGCTTAAGTTATTCTATTGGTTGATAGTGGATTAGATAGTTAATAAGGGGTTAGTAGTTAATAGGTAGTTGAAAATAAATAAGGCATTGCAAATATACTTAATATTAATAATTGATTATTCTCTTTCTCTTTCCTCCCATAACTTTCTCCATAACCCTCTCTCCACTACAATTAAAAGGAAACCCGAAATTAATTTAATTAGATTGTAATATTTAATAAATTCGAACTTCATAATTTTCCCCTTATTAATAATAGAAATTAAAAATCTGCTCTCTCACTTCGTGACAACTTGCAATGTAGTATTAACGTTTTGCAATGGCATTATCAACATTTATGAAATAAATCATTATTGCTATACCATTATTAACGATTTCAATATACGTATCAATTCTTTACAATTATATTATTACAAATTTTGAATCAATCGTTACCGTTTTACATTTTCATCATCCAAGTTTATGAATGAGTCATTGGTTTACAACATCTATACTAATGATTCACAATATCATTGATTCACAACATTATCATTATTGATACTATTAGTAATGAGCTCCCAAAACATTGTCATTAATTGTTTATTAGACTTGTTTGGTGTTTATATTTAATATTGTCAATATTTCATTAACTAGTAACGTCATGTCATGTGTGTACATATAGTTTTCATTATCAAATGTTTAATAATCGTTATTATCAACTTTTACATGAATTGTTAATAAAACTATTTATGACATTATTAGTTTTATACTTTATTATCAATGTTTTTGTATTCAATAAAACTGTGTTAGTAACCTTTAATAAGAACACACTAAATCATTGATAAATAATATATTTAGTTGATAATAAATATTTTTGTATTCAATAAAAACATAATGTTTTGGTTTTTGATGTTTTGGTTATCAATAAATTTTCGTTACATCATTAACGGTTTGTTGCATCTCTATCAACCTAGGAGCATATGTTTTCCAATTTGGACGTGAGGTTTATAAACTTCTTGATAAAGTTTCCTATTTGTTTTTATTGTTGTTATCGACGTTTATGAAATAATGTCCAACAATTATACCATCAACTTTTATTGGTTCATTGTTATCAATCCAAGGTACTGCTATCAATTTTTTTTACTATGGATTTTCAACGATATACAAAAATGTTATCATCGTCTCCTAAATCATTTTTTGTTGTTTGTTAATGGGTTTAGGCTTATTGTTAACAATCTAATGTAATGTTATCATCGTTGGTGTAATGTAAATTGTTATTAACGTAATAAAATATTTAAGATTCTAATCATTATAGCCGAGCATTATCTATTTTTAGTGAATTATTAATAAAATATACTTACATTATTAACAATTTAAAATGTCGTTATCTACATTTAATATGTCATGATGTCGGGTGTTGTTTTTTAATGTACCATGATATCACGTAGTTGTTACAACTTACAATTTTACTTTCACGTTAAAAACGTTAAGCAACTCCCAGCAAAATGTTGTTAAAGTATATCATTACTAATTGTATGAAAATTGTTAGACATTCACCTAAAACATTATAATTTTCATTTTCAATGAAATTTATGGAATGGGAACGTCACGTTTACGTTAAAAATGTTAAGCAACTCTTATCAAAACGTTAACAACGTGAAAGTATATAATCACTAATAGTTTCAAAACGTTTAACAATTGATCTAAAATATTTACAATTTTGTCATGTACTGTTAATAGTGAACACTATCAACGTTTGATGTATCATGATATAAGTTGTTGTTTGTTTGTCAAACGAGTGAGTCTTTGAGAGATCATTACTAATAGTATCAATAATGCTAGTGTTGTGAATCATTAGTAAAGATGTTGTAAATCAATGATTCATTCATAAACGTTGATGATGAAAATGTAAAACGGTAACGATTTATTCAAAATTGTTAATAATATTATTGCAAAGAATTGATACTTATATTGAAATCGTTAATAATGATAAGATATAGTAATAATGATATATTTCATAAACGTTGATAATGTCATTGCAAAACGTTAATACTACATTGCAAATGTCACGAAGTGAAAGAGCAAATTTTAATTTTTAATTTCTATTTTAAAAGGGAAAAAATTGTTAAGTTTGAATTTTATTAAATATTAAAATCTAATTTCCTTTTAATTGTAGTGAATAGAAAGGGTTATGGGGAAAGTTATGGGAGGAGAGAGAAAGAGAATAATTAATTATTAATATTAATTATATAAACATAATACCTTATTTATCTCAACTACATATTAATTACTAATCTCTTATTAACTATCTAATCTACTATCAACCAATAGAATGGCTTAAGCAAAATGCTTAAACATATATGCTTAAGCACTGGATCCTACCCGCAATAAGAAAATGTCTATATATGAAAGACTATGTTAAAAAAATAGTACAAGGGTCATGATAGGAAAACATTAATTCAATGTTTAGGGGCCAATATATCATTAACTCTTTATATAAATGCACAATTCATTTGGTATAATTGGTTTTCCACTTCATAGTATGTTTTGCTAAAACTTACATATAAATAAGTTGGATCATACCATTTACTTCTTGTTTGTAGAAAGACGGGCGAGAGACGCCCTAGTGCATAATATTAATAGAATGAGTCTTGGTCGTATCCATGACATCATACAACAAACAATGTTCAAGGTTCGGATCGCACGCATTGAACTGGTGTGTGCCAAAAGGAAGGGTATATAACCCTTATAAGCCAAAAAATCAGCAACAAAGTTTTCTTCTCTATACACATGACTAACAACTACCTCCCAATCACGACCAAGGAGGTTTCCAATCTTTTCCGCAAGAAAAGCATGTGAATGGTTGTTGCCTTTCTAGTTCCTGACGATGCTGATCGGAGTAGTGGGGTCGAGGTTGAGCTCGATCTTCCTGAAGCCAAGCTTCCATGCCCTTTCAAGACCAACAACTGCTCCCTTCAATTCAGCACTCGTGATGGATCAAGCCCCGAAATTGCAGGCAAATGCATCTAAGCAGCGCCCAACTCAATCCCTGATCATGCCACCTACAACAACCATGCTAGTAGAACCCAAAACCGAGTCATCCGTTTGTACTTGAATCGAGCCTTCTCTTGGTGGTTTCCAGCCAAACTCCTTCTCGATTTGAACAGATTTGCGCACTAGAAGGCTCATGTTGGCGTTGTCCTTAGCTTGTCGATGAATGTTAAGCCAGACATTGGCTTTGTTAATCAAACCTTCTTTAGAGTACTTCTTACCATACAAGACCTCTTCATTTCTTTGTTTCCAAACAAGCCCACACAAAAATCCAAAGTCAACTCTTGTGTCAGCATCTTTGGTGTTTTTATGAATCCACTGTTGGAAGGAGATGCAAGTGCTCTGCTCTTTAATCTTGCAGTTGAAGTGACTACAAAATCCCTTAGTCTTCTTGCATTTCCTTAGGATGTGCTCCACAGTCTCCTCCTCGTCAGTGCAATGGTTGCAGCCTCCATTCCGTGCAATCTGTTGTTTCTTTCTCTCTGCGGTGGTGAGGAGTATGTTGTGTGAGATAAGCCATAAGAAAAGCTTGATTCTGTTGGGGTCATCCCATCTCCAGAGGTCGCTCCAAGCCTAAACCTCTCATCCTTCTCAACTCCCCAGATGGTTCTGTCCTCTCCAAACTTCTGGTTAGGGGCCTCCAACCTTGCAATACGAATTAAAACCTCATTAGGCAGATAATCCTTAAGTCTCTCCCGGTCCCACTAGCCATCCCTGTTAGTCCATTCCGCCACAAAAGAGTATTTTTCCTCTTCCGAGAGATCCACAAGAACAAAATCCTCACGCACAATGTGATGATCCAACCAAGTGTTGGTTCAAAAACCAATAGACTGCCCATCTCTTATGCTTCACGCCATCCCTTTTCTCATCGCAGGCATCACCTTAAGGATAGCTCTTCACATGTTGAGTGATTATTGGTTTTCATGGTAGTAATTCTCCCTTCCATGTGATGGAAATACTTGTCCTGCATCACCTAAACCCACAAGTCTTTCAAATTATTAATAATATGTCAAGCCAATTTCACCATGTAAGCAAGATTGGGACTCCTAGCAGATTTAAGTCCAAAACCACCTTGGTTTTTGAGCTTACAAGTTGTTTCACAGGAGACCAAATTCACATTTCTTTTCCCCACCTGAGATCCCCGAACAAACCACCTAATTTTCCTATCAATAGTGTCACACACAGAGGATGGCAAAAGGGTTGTTTGCCTTGTATATGAGGGGATGGCTTCCAAAACAACCTTGGCAAAAGTAACCTGACCAGAAAGAGAGTGAGTGGAGGCTTTCCGGGCTGTAATCTTACTATCATTCTAGTCTTGTCTTTGCTAACAAGTTCACCTGAGGCTTCACAAAAATCATTTAGACATGACAAGATGCACTCGACTTTCTCGACACTGGCTTCAACAAACAAGACAAGGTCGTACGCGAAGGATAGGTGAGAAAGGGGAGGGCCACCAATAGACAAGAAGATAGGTTTCCACAGTTTGTCCCTGACTTTCCTATCAATGATATGGTTCAATCTTTCAACTCATAGGGTAAAAAAGTAAGGGGAAAGGAGACATCCCTACCGGATTCTCCTAGTGTGAGTGAAAGGTTCAGTCTCTCCTCCATTCTAAAGGACCTGCTTCTCCACCGAAGTCACACAGTGAATGATGATGTTGACACATTGGGAGGGAATGCCAGTCAAAATCAAAGTTTCTGCAAGGAATTTCCAGTCAATCCTGTCATGGACCTTAGCTAAGTCCACCTTGAGGAGCATGGTACTCTTCTTTCCTTCTTTCCTAGCTAGCGCCATGGAATGAACAGTTTCCTGCAAAATAAGAATACTACCAATGATGTGTCTATTTGGAACGAAGCTAGATTAATTAGAGTGAAACAAGTGGGACATAAGTTATTTGAGCCTGTTGACAATCGTCTTTGCCACCACATCATAACCCACATTACAAACACTAATGGTCTAATGGGACAAAATTGATTCATAGATGCAGGGCCTCGACTCCAGGGAACTAATCCTACTAGGGTTTCTAAAGCAACCTTGCCATAGGAACTAATATGTAAGGAAAATATTTCTGAGGGCGAAAACGTAGTTTTCTCCTCGTGGCAGCTAGTCTGGCCTTCTGTTCCGAACTTCCGATTTCCACTCGTTTGAGGCGTTCGTTTCCCTTCGCCGATAGCATACAGATTACAGAGACACTCTTGAAATAGAGAAAATAGTTAGCTCGCTCGTTCGCTTGCGCTAATGGCGAAGACTCTAATGTTGCGCCCTCACGTTCTATCTTCAGCGACCACCCACCTGCTGCTTCGCCGAGCTCTACTTTCTTCCCGGCCGTCGCCATCGCCTTCTCACATATGTCCCCGAAGCACTCAGTTCCGTTCCTATTCTGTATCGTTTACTCACCACAGAACCTCAGAGCTTCATCTTTGCAGCTCCCCCAGTGAATTATTCATCTCCGGGGCTGGCGCTGCCTCCGCGGCTAATCGCAGGTTCACTGCCGGAGCTACTCCGGTAAATGATAGTGGTTCCATTGGCTCGCCGCTCATGCAGTCTATGGAGTTAAAGGTGCTTCCTTTCTTCCTCTGATTGGTTATATTGTTTTCATTGCTGAATTTGTTATGCCGGAAAGATAACATTTGGTTAAGAAAGGAATTTGGTTTAGGGTTACCCTTCTAGTTTAGAACCCTAAAACCATATGCTAAGGTGTTCTGCCATCCTACTTGTTGGTTGTCCTTTTAGCTGTTACGATGGCTTTGAGCTTCGTTCCTCCACTGCTTGATTGTCATGTTTATGAAGTCCGAATTTAGTATGGTGAAGTTAGTTCCTTTCCTATGATAGTTGTCTCTGTTGGATTCATTCCTGAACTTGGGGGGTTATGCATGAGTTAAGATGAATTGAGTTATCCAGTATTGTTTGCATATTCTCGCTCTCGAGTGGCAGCTTGTTGTTATCAGAAGATCTGCCAATGACTTGCTGAAACCTTCAATTTGTATGGTGATCCACTTGCTAGTTGCTAGTTCCTCATCCGCCCATCAAAATAGAGAAAAGAGGGGGAAAGGAGAGAATATACACACGCTTTACGTCAACTACATCTGAATTTGGTTTCAGTCTCCATTTCAACTCTTAACATGGAAATTCTGTGGTAGCAGATAAAGCAACAGCTGGAGGCAGAGTCAGTGACTGTCAAAGATGCATATGGCGATGGTCGACATGTGAGGTAAGGTCCCTAAAGTTCAATTTCTTATCAGATATACCTTAGATGCTACATGTGATATTTAGTCATGGACATAAGTTAACAGTTCAGTGCTTGCATCAGTCAACTCTTGTTGAATCTGTCTAGTGTATGTGGTAGCTCGTTGGATTAAGAATGGAAGTTTGAAACTTCCTAGTGGATTCATGCTGTCATGTGCTCGCAATAAACAGGGTTGAGTTCAGAAGATCTAGGCTGATTTGCATCTTGGATTTACTATGAATTTGGTTGTCATTTGCTTCAACATTATGTTGATAACTCAGCTTTGGGAATCAGATGATGTGATGGAATTCTGTGGCGAAATTGCAATGTAGTGAGATAAGGAACCTGAGCTGAGATTGAAATACTAATAATATGTGCATGATGGTTATAGAGTCTATTCCCAGCTGCCTTTAGAATGTGCTCAAATGCTGTTCTTTTTTCCTTCCCCAGTCCAGATTATGTGGTTTCTCTTTTCTGATGGATCTGACTTCTTTGATGCCTCACTACCTTTCGGCAGTATCGACGTCATTTCATCTGCATTCGAGGGTCAGTCTGCGGTGAACAGGCAAAGGATGGTGTACAAAGCCATATGGGAGGAGCTTCAAAGCACAGTGCACGCAGTTGATCAGATGACCACCAAGACTCCCTCTGAAGCTGCCAAGAACTGAAAATTTTGTTTTGTTTTCATTGTCCTGCAAGCTGCAATTTGGGAAGTCCCAAGTCTAGGGAACTTTCCTCTTCTATGCATAATAACAGGGTGGAAATGAACCATCAATGAATACATAGTGTGTATTACGGTTTACCAATTGCCATCACATTTGCGGCCTCTTTCTTAAAGAGCTGCAGTTATCAATTTTTTAGTAAGCGTCTATGCACTTCATTTGATGATCAAATCATTGATCGTGAGCTATGTATTAACTATTGGAGTATTGTATTTGTATAGGGAATAAATTGTAATGGGTATTACGGGTAGCCATACTATCCATATGGGTATTATACTATCCATATGGGTATTAGCGGGTTGGACCCATACTATCCATATGGCTATTATACTATCCATATGGGTATTAGCGGGTATCCAACGGGTACCCAATATGAAAATTCTTAATCCCAAGTCTCATTCCGTAGTAAATATTACGGATATTTAAGTACCTGTAACTCTAAAAAACCGGAACGAGTATGGATATACCCAAATACCCATTTCCCGTTACCCATCCCTATACACGATTCACATCCTCTTCATTTCTCACTGTTGTAGTTTATTAATATCTACTTGCTAAACCCATAGGAATCAAGGCAGGTTTTGCCCTAGGCAGGCTAAATGAGCCAACTTTTGTCAATTGCACCTAACAGCAAAGTAATTGGGTTGCAAGTGATGATATGGCCACCGAGTTCAACAACAATGAAATTAAATAGTGAGATGTTTCCATAAAAGAAGTTACACGTACGTGGCCACCACAATAATCACCTGACAAATATATTAATACTAAACCCTTAAAAAAAATATCCAACGTTCAATTTATACGTATAAACCACCAAATTGTACACCACTCCACTAGTATAAGAAAACAATGACACCACTCATCAGGACATTATGGATAGTCACAGACACTCAATTCCAATTGTATTATTGAAAACCCCAATATAAAATTTTGTTTGAATGATTTCATTTTATATGTATGATGAGCAATTTTTATGTATTTTTATACAGTGAGCATGTTAGTGCATACATCTGACCCATACTAAAATGAGTTTTGAGCTATGCCCAAATAAGAAGTCTTTTTTTTGTCATCTCTAAATATTAGTAAACTAAAGATAGTGATTTGCCTTCTTATTTGTCTATTTGTTTTTTCTTTTTCATGAAAATATATGTAATGTATAGAACTAGGCACTTCTTGCCATTGTGGGGGTTAATATATGCCAGATAATGCTGGAATCCGATCTCACTCCTATTTGCGAATCTATCTCACGGTTAGGTGAAGGTTATAGTATAGCCGTCCCGTCACCTACCGCACTTTTTTGACAAAAAATAATTATATTGATTAAGTAAAACTCACAAGTTACATCCTGAAATCAACCCAGGTACGGAAATTGTACAATCGACACGAGGCTGGAGATAAAGACAGGGCCTTTCTAGTCACATAATGGGCTACCCTATTGCTATTCCGATTTCCGACCTACGAACCTAACCTGGAAACCACCATTCAGAGCTAGCAAATTCACAATCTCCTGAATAATAGCCCCAACATGACCATACCGCGTATCGTTGGCATTAACCTTATCAATGAGCACCTTTGCATCACCCTCAAACATAACTTGGGGAAAACCAAGAGTCTGACACCATTGGATTGCCTCACGGAATACCAAAGTCTCAGCCACAAGAGGGTACACAATGCTTGGAAAAGACACACCTTTAGCCAAAAGCACATTACCACCACCATCCTTGACCACCAGTCCTCCCGCTGAATGTGAGCCAGCACTCACCGCTCCATCCCACATACATACGATAGGAGGCAAGGTCCCCTCCCTACGATTGTGGCTCGGCGATACCCATACCGGAACCAGTGGATCCTCTGGCAAGGGATTCCATTCATGAAGCTGCTGATGGTACCACTACAACAAATTTGGTCTAGTATGACAATTATTTCATTTTGTCATTTATCTTTTGTCACAATATATTACCATATATGACAAATAGAACCATTGTCATATTTGCCATATCTTTTGTGACAAGTTTGTCTTTTGTCATTTACATGCGTCACATTAACATTCTATTACGATGAAAATCTTTTTGCCATTGGTAATTTGTCATAAAAATCTCGATGGGATGACAATAGAACTATATAATCTGACAACATTTATTGTCGTATTTTATGTTGTCACATTACATAGCATACGATGTTTCGTGTGACAAGTCTCGTTGTCGTAATAGTGTGTTGATGAGAAGGCTTTTTAGCGGGAGGTTTTGGGGGGAAATGTGGGTTGTATTATGTGACAAATTAGGGGTTTGTCATAATGTCGATAGTTTTTGTGACAAGTTATTTTGTCATAATGTCCAACATCAATTGCAGAGGAGTTGATATAATATGACAAAGCATGATGATTCATATTATGTTTATTGATAATATCAATTTGGCAGGAACTTATGAAGGAAAAATGAAATTATTAAATGACAAATGATTAATATGACAAAATAGATTATCAAATTACCTATTCACAAGAGTTAATATGAATAGTATATTATATCATTAAAATGACAGTATGCGAATTTGTCACAATATGAATTTATTAATGGCGGGAAACTAATGGAGGGAAGAATGAAATGTCTAAAATGACAAAATAGATTGTCAAATTAACTATTAATTAGAGTTAATATGAAAAGTGTACTTGATTATTAAAATGACAATATGCGAATTTGTCATAATATCAATTTTGCAATGGCGGGAAAATAATGGAGGGAACAATGAAATATCTAAAATGACAAAATAGATTGTCAAATTAACTATTAATTGGAGTTAATATGAAGAGTGTACTTGATCTAGGAAAATGACAGTAGGCGAATTTGTCACAATATGAATTTGGTAATGGCGGGAAAATAATGGAGGGAAGAATGAAATGTCTAAAATGACAAAATAGATTGTCAAATTAACTATTAATTGGAGTTAATATGAAGAGTGTACTTGATCATTAAAATGACGGTATGCGAATTTGTCACAATATGAATTTGGTAATGGCGGGAAAATAATGGAGGGAAGAATGAAATGTCTAAAATGACAAAATAGATTGTCAAATTAACTATTAATTGGAGTTAATATGAAGAGTGTACTTGATCATTAAAATGACGGTTTGCAAATTTGTCACAATATGAATTTAGTAATGGCGGGAAATAATGGAGGGAAGAATGAAACGTCTAAAATGACAAAATAGATTGTCAAATTAACTATTCATAGGAGTTAATATGAAGAGTATACTATATCATTAAAATATCATTAAGTGTTGGGTGTTCATTTAATATGACAAACAATCGTCAGTAAATCATTTACCTGCAACTCTAAATTAAACACTAATGTAGTTCAAAATCTCAATTCATAGGCGTTGAACAGTAAACCTATAAGGGACATACTCAACATTTAATCGCCTAAACTTAGAGTCTTATATGCAATTGCACAAACTCGAGTCCTAATCGGTTAAATTGTACATTATACATAACCCAATGGATGTATATTTGTCACAATGGATGTAATATGACAAATTCATAATGTATTGTGACAAAGTCCTTGCGTCATAATTGACCTAATTTGTTGTAGTGTACTGGCGCAGTAAATGAGGAATCGTAAACTGCTTGCCCTCAAAGGCAGCTTAGTTACGAGATTTTCAAATACGCCACAAGAGGGCCACCAGATAGGGATGGCAATAGGTTGGGTTGGTTCGGGTTTTGTCAAACCCAAACCAAAATCCATGGGTTTATCCGTGAAAAAAGCAGGGGTAAAACCCACTGGGTTTGGAAAACTCAAACCCAACCCGTTGGATATCTACAAGTTCATGGGTACCCATGGATTTTTGTCGTAAAAAATTTACAATAACAAGTTCCTATCAATATAAAAGTCAAATATCAATCTCTCAACACAAATTATCCATATATAAAACACCAATCTAGAAAATTCAAGCAAATCACAAATTAACCATACAAATTGTTCAACACCAATATAGAAAACTCAAGAAAATTGAAGCAAATCACAAATTATCCATAAACAACATGATTAATTGAAAGCTTCTTCCTCATTGTCAATTAAGCTTCTTCACTCTCCACTCGATGATATCAACTTCATTCTACACAATTAGAAAGAAAAAATTAGATATGTCTCCACAAACATAAAGAAGATTAGTAGCTTAGAATACTAAATATACCGAAAAATTAATTATATGGGTGTGGGCGGGTACCCATGGGGCGGGTATACCTAAACCCAAACCCAACCCAATCCAATGAATAGTGAACGGGTTTAAACCCGATCCTGGCCCAAAATCCGTCAACATAGGTTTTACCCTCATTGACCGGGTTGGGTCGGTTAGGGTGCCCGTGGGTTCGGGTTTTGTTGCCATCCCTACCACCAAAGTCATGATTTGAGCTGGGTGAGTCATACGAAGCAAACACTTCTTGAGAAAAAATGGAAAGGTCTGTCTCGGCAAACCATGGCCCAGGTGTTCCAAGCCTGAATAAGCCCAGAGATATGCAGCGATTGGACACTCCCAAAAAAGGTGCTCCATCGTTTCAGACTCCGCCCAACACACTGGACATTTTTACCATATAAATTTATTATTATTATTATTATTATTATTATTATTATTATTATTATAAATACCAACATCATAGATAAGAACTATAAAAAAAACATCATAGATAAGAGCAACACCCAAAAAATTAGGGTTTCTTGATTCTCTCTCTCAACTTATGAATTCGGCCAAATTTGTCTATATAGTAAATACTAAATAGTATAGGTCAGAATGGTTATTTTAAAAAATAACTGACCGACTTAATCTATTAAAGTACAATTCAGACCAATTTAAATATTAACATAAGTAATAACTGAATCGCTATTCGTCGCCCTAAAATTTAAATTTTGTCGCCCTATGTACCAAATTGACATTATTACCCTAGTCCCAATTTCAACCTAAATCTTAAACAAAAAAATTATTTTGCCCTGCCCAAACGTCGCCGAGCTCATCTGTCCTCTGACCGCTGTTGCCGTTGCCGGATTCTTATCACCGGCTCGTCTTCCTTTTTTCCAATCCGAATCATCCCCGCCTCCAACAGCACACCCAGGTCCTCCGCCGTTCGTACAAGCGAGTGGATCAGCACGGAGTACCCGACAAGAATCGGGATTCTGCTCAACTTCCTTCCCTCCTTCCCCTGCCTTCGCCCCCTCTCCAGAAACAGAGCATGCCGCCTTGCAACCCAAAAATGACCTGTCGCCATCCAACTTCGTCCGAGTCCCACCACTCTGCGCGACCAGCAGCCGCAATGTCGCCCCGACCCACGACCAGACGGGTGGCGCGCCACTCTTGCTCGTCAGACGGGTCCTGTTCCAACCTTGCTGACGACGGGAACTGCGGGTAAAACCCAGCACTGCGGAGGTGCGCTCCCGATTCCATCTTCCGATGATGACCGGGCGCTTTATCAATTAAATTGAGGGAAAAAATAGGTTTTAATAAGCTAGGGTCAATTATCAATTAACGATGATTGGGGATATATCAATTATTGAGGGAAAGAATTGGCTTTAATTGACTAGGACCAATTATCAATTATTGGCAGTGGCGACCGGAGTAGAATCTGGTCTGTGGATTGCCGGCAGCATTCTTCAATTGACGTAGGTTAAAAATTGGGGTAGAGGGCAAATTTGTTTATTTAAAAATTTAGGACAATAAAATTTAAAATATAGGGCGACTAATAGCAATGCAGTATTTTCTTTTACTTTGAAGCCCGCTAGTTGGTCAAATAGCTTATGCGGGACAAGTTAAATGAATGGTTCAACAAATAGTGTACCTCTGTAATGTTGTTAAAATAAAAAATAAAAAAAATAAATTTATTTGACATCATATCACCATTGAATTTTACCGGTATCATCCCGAATTATCAGTTTAACAACATAAAATCGACTGACAAGAGTTTCCCTATAATACTTTTGTATACCGTACTGATGTTGATGATGATAAAAAAACAATAAATATGATCCAACAGATTATACACTGTTGATGGGATATTATATATTTATGTATTCTGAGATTAATTATTGCATCCCCTTTAAAATTATTCGAATTAGCCATGCAATGCAGCACTACGTTTTCCCCCAAAAACAAAACAAATCAAGGCAAATCGGACACAAAGGATAATCACTTTTAAGATGAGCACCAAACCATTTTGAATGCCTAGCTTAGCTAGAAATCAGAAGATGAGGTGAGGTGGCTTGAAGATCGAGTTGATTGCAGTTAAAAGCACTTTAATACCAAACAAAAGGATGAATTAAATTAAGAGACGGGCTAATTAAAGCTAGCTAGCTAACTTCTGCTAACTGTGGAAGCAAGCTAGTCTCATTAAGTATAATAAATTAAACACCAAGAAGAGTAATCCATACCTAATTTGATTAATCTTAATCAAAAGAGGAGTGTAGTAATACAGGCAGGGCATGCGCCTTGATCTTATGAGGTCAGACAGATTATGTGGTATACACTATACACGGGCATGCGGCAGCATATTCCAAGTGATTTGTCAGTCAGTATTTTAATGAGGAGTTTCGACTAATTTGAACGGTAAATTATTATTTTCTATTTAGGATATAGTTATATCTAAAAAAATTGGTTTAATTCATGATCTAGATAGAGATATTTAATTAGGCATACCTGGAATATAGTATACACCCAGGACTATATAGCAGTCTGACCCATACTTATATATACACCAACATACACACATTATTCCTTAAATTAAAAGGGCGTTGAGGACAAAGCCGAAACATGCCACTGAAAGACTCTACTGAGACAAAGATGGGCTGTCAAGAACGTAGAGGATGTAGGATGGGCAGTTGGTTAGATCTAGTATGGATCGTACATGGACGATAGTTGGAGTCAGTGGCTCTCCAAGGGTTCCCTCATCTGGGATCCCTGGGGAAGAGGATCAAGTTGCCCCTTGCGAACAGCTTGATGCACTATCTCTCGTCAACCCTTTAGCGAAATGCGGCAAAAGGAAGGAAAATCCATGGACCGTTCCCATCGTCTCCATCCTGTATGAACTACGAGATCACCCCAAGGACGCCTTCGGCATCCAAGGGTCGCGGATCGACCATAGAATCCTTTTCAATAAATAAGTGTAACGCATTAGCTGTCCGCTCTCAGGTTGGGCAGTAAGGGTCGGAGAAGGGCAATTACTCATTCTTAAAACCAGTATTCTTAAGACCAAAGAGTGGGGCGGAAAAAGGGGGCGGGGGGAAGCTCTCCATTCCTGGTTTTCCTGTAGCTGGATCCTCCGGAACCACAAGAATCCTTAGTTAGAATGGGATTCCAACTCAGCACCTTTTGAGAAGAGTTGCTCTTTGGAGAGCACAGTACGATGAAAGTTGTAAGTTGTGTTCGGGGGGATTTATTGTCTACTATTAGCCCCTATGCTAAAATTAGTCGAGGGCCCCGAGTGGTAGTGGTTTACCCTGTGACGGATGTTAGCGGTTCTAGTCTGCTTATCTCCAACTCGTGAACTTAGCCGGTACAAAGCTATACGATAGCACCCAATTTTCCGATTAGGCAGTTCAATTATGATTTCTCATTCATGGACGTTGATAAGATCCTTACATTTAGCAGCACCTTAGGATGGCATAGCCTTAAAGTAAAGAAGTTAAGGGCGAGGTTCAAACGAGGAAAGGCTTACGGTGGATCCCTAGGCACCCAGAGACGAGGAAGGGCTTAGTAAGCGACGAAATGCTTCGGGGGGTTGAGAATAAGCGTAGATTCAAAGATTCTCGAATAGGTCAACCTTTCAAACTACTGCTGAATCCATGGGCAGGTAAGAGACAATCTGGCGAACTGAAACATCTTAGTAACTATAGGGGAAAAACAAAAGTAACTCCCATTGTAGCGCGAACGAAATGGGAGCAGCGTTAACCGTGAAAACGGGGTTGTGGGAGAACAATACAAGCATCGTGCTGCTAGGCGAAGCGGTGGAGTACTGCACGTACCCTAGATGGCAAAATCGAATAGTCGAAAGCATTACTAGCTCGATAGCGAAGTAGTACCGTGAGGGAAGGGTGAAAAGAACCCCCGTCGGGGAGTGAAATAGAACATGAAACCGTAAGCTCCCAAGCAGTGGGAGGAGACGGACTCTGACCGCGTGCCTGTTGAAGAATGAGCCGGCGACTCATAGGCAGTGGCTTGGTTAAGGGAAACCCACCGGAGCCGTAGCGAAAGCGAGTCTTCATAGGGCAATTGTCACTGCTTATGGACCCGAACCTGGGTAATTTATTCCAAGGCATAGACTAAACCATCACTTAAACAAGATTAAGGCAAATAGTATTAAAGAAATCAGATTGATTTTTCTATCAAAATTACTATGTGAAATCTATATCTAGTGGAAAAGAGCAAGATATGAAATATATAGAGTAGGTTGGTCATTTTGCAGACAAACTCACAAAAAGGTAAGCAGAAAAGAAGTTGGCCAACTAAGAGTGGATCCAGCGATAAAACAACTTTTTCTTTGCCATGATATGAGCAGTCTTGTTATACCTATGAGGAGCGAAGTGAAACGAGACACACTAAAACGACAAACGAGTAGCGTAGCATCTGAACCTCATAAAAATAGTGGCATCCAAATCGTGCAAAAATTCATTCGTGTTGACCATCCAGAGGATCACCTATGCATCACCCCAAAACATAACATTACTGTACAAATTAGATAAACACCATCAAAGAGAGTGCCGAAGGGCCAGGAGTTCAACCACACCATAAACTCAACCAAATACAAATTTAGCTTCGCGCTTGGATGAAAAGCCAGCAAAACACACACCACCCCCACTAAAACCTTGAGAGGGGTAACAGAACATCGATAATTATTGGTTAAAAAAACTCTCAAATATGTATAGATCAAGAATTGAACTCAACACCTCTAGATGATATAAAAAAAGTTCTACCACTACAATACATGTTATTTCATATTTAAAAGCAAAATATGAATTATTTTATCACATTATATACAAAATTTCCATTGAAAAATACCCAAAAATTGATCTTTCTCTGTCTTCTAAGGTCAAGACCAAAGTGCAACAATCATATCTGTTAGTTTATTTGCTTCTAAAGCTAGTTTTGAATCTACCCGTTGCAATAGCCAATGTAGAAAGAGCATTTTTACCTTTGAGTTATATTAAAAACAAGTTTCAAAGTCGAATTGACGACCAGTTTGCTAATGAGTATTTAGTTGAAAACATTGTAAGAGTTCAGACAACAAATGTATTTTGCGTTTCTTTCATAATATGAAAATATGTTGTGATTGTTTATGAAAACAATGATGGTATTAGTCAAATACCAGAAAAAAGATTAGAGAAGGAGACAACAAATTATGTCTAATACTAGAAATAAGGCCTCTAGTTTAGGTTTTATCACTTGGGCACATATGTTTGTTCTGCATTTGTTATGTCCCAACGTTTAGAGTCATCATGTCAAGAATGTCTTCTGTCGTTTTGCTAGCTGATAGACTTAACGATCAATCAAACGATGATCAATATTTTGTTGACTTCGTGCCAATGTATCTGCCATATCACCTGGAAATTAGTGCATCATTACCTCATGTTACATGCTCAATAAGAATTTATCTCTGTCCAGGTGCACGATAAATCCATGCAACAACAATAATAATATTATTATGTGTCATTCAGGCAGTGGAAGAAAACCATCTCCCAGTCTTTTTGCATATACTTTGTTGACCCTTTACTTTTACTCAGCTTTACACTAGAGTGGCTACTCATAAACGCGCTACCAGAACAAATTAAACGATGTTAATTAATCCCTGCCAATTACATATGGTAATGGCCATGTGGAGCTTGACCTGTGTTTTTAATTAATTTCGAATTTTTATATCATATTAAAATTTTGATTCTAACTCACTTGGAAAAACTTCAATCTTTAGTGATCACTTATGAAAAACATACAACATTGGAACAATTTTCTGCAAAACCAGTCAGCTCAAGAAAATTATTAGTGAGAATTAGGGCTGCAAATAAGTTGAGTCGAGTACAAGTTAGTTTATTTAATAAAATTTTGATTCGTATTTGATATATTCATTTTATATTTCATATATGATACATGTAATGATGTGATTATTATAATGTAAAGATGAAAAAAATAATAGTTAAGTGTTCAATATTAACTAATCTCAAGTTATACTTTGTGGTATCATATTATGTAGTTAATAAATTTTCACTAGTGAATATTATGTTAGTTCACAGTATCGAAGTAGTCTATGATACATAATTGCTTTTTAAAATTAAATAAGACATATTTTCTCACATAATCTAAGTGTTAAACTTCATATAGGGTGAGATATATAATTTAACAATCCTATTAATTATCAAAATCGAACTCATATAGAACAATTCGCTCATAACTCGGTAATCAAGTTGGCTCTCTAGCCACAATTTTAATAGTTGAGACATCTCATGAGCTCTAAACAAGCAAGCTCACGAGTAGTTGAGCTCAAAAAGCCACCGAGTCGAGCTAGCTCGCGAGCTGCAAAAGGCTAAGCTCAAGCTTGGCTCATTAGTAAACGAGCCGAGTTTCGAATGAGCTTTTTCATAATCAAACGTCGATCCGCTCGCGAGTAAATCGACTCATTTGTAGCCCTAGCGAGAATGCCAATATGCAATAGATAAATGAACACGAAAGAGGAATTGAAAATGAAAAAGGAATTGAGAATGCCAATAAGGGTATAATGTAACATCTCGAACCTTTTCCTGACGAAGATATTGTCCGCTTTGTGTCTCAACTCTCACGGTTTTTTATTTGGGGTGCAATTCAAGGTGACTTCACATAAGGTCACCCATCCTTGTTGTACTCCACACTAAGCACGTTTAACTTCGGAGTTCTCACAAGAACTTCATTTCACCCCAAAACGTGTCTTCTAAGTTAAGGTCGGTGTCTCGCTAAAACACAACACCAAACTACGTCCAAGTATAATCGCAGTTCAGAAATGCAGTATAGTGGGTTCAGTTTTACTTGTCAACCCGGGTCCTAGATTTACTGTCTACTCAGTGAATCTCTATTATCTAGCTGGTCAGTTTGAGTGGAAGATTATCAAAAGCAAAAACAAACAGAAAGCAAGTAACAATAGTATTCATATTAAGAAGCCTCACTCAGGTATGAGTCCCCCTATATCGCAGTCAAGCTAAGTTGTAATTCACCTGAGTCAGGTCGATTGATGTTTAAACTACGAAAAGTTCTCAAACAGTCTGGAGTCTCGACTAAAGTGATCCAGACCCTGTCAGTTTGAATACCCAGCGAGCGATTAACCTCTACCGGCGTAAGCTAACTGAGGCAATAAGATTCAAACTTCCTCTACTCAGTTCTACACCGGTACAGAGCAGAGAATCGACTTCTCGACTAAAGTCGCCGATTCACTACCTCCAATTCAAGATGCTCTATTGACCTATGCAAAGATTATCATTCTAGGTCAAAGCAGGAATCACTAGAATTTGATCAAAACTAAAGCAATTCTGAATCATCAATTCGATATAAATCAATCATTCATGACTAAGGGTTCATACAAATCTTCCTAACATACAATCTAGGGTTCTTACATACCCAAGTTTTAAAGGGGATTACTCCTTAGAGAGAGAGAGAGAGAGTGAAAAGCTATGCCGGATGTAGAAATCATCGTGTAGATGGAAGAAATCTGCTCCGGGTCCTCAATCGTCACTCCTTGAGGCTTGAATCGAGCTCCAATGGTGGGGAGACTTGATCTAGGGCCCTCTAGGTCCTCTCTTCATCACTTTCTCTCTCTAAACCTATGTTTTCAGCTCCCAGAATTGAATAGCCTTCAACTTCCCGTGTTTGACTTTAAATATCCCGAGTTGGGCATACCCGGTCGGGAATTAGGAGGACAGATCGAGGTTTTAACTAAAACTACGCACAACACACAAGGGAAATACTCGATCTCGGGGTGAAATACCCGATCGGGTATTTGAGATCCACGACCGGGGGGGCTTCCTGGATGGTTTACCCTATCTTCTTTGATTATACCCGATCGGGTATTTGAATAGTCTGGTCGGGTATTCTGTCTTCCACCTCCACTTTTCGCCCACTCTCCGCTTTTGACCCGAAACTCGCTCCCAAGACTTCATTTCCGCTCCAGGTCCTGAAATATGACATAAAAGCGCAACTTAGCGTGAACTCTGTTTAAAACATGAGAATCAATCCTCAAACTGTGCAAGAATGGTGGGAAAACATGTGCAAATATTGGCTTATCAGTCGGTTTCTTACTTATGAACCATGGATCTATCCCATGCTTTATCGATGTGGGGTTCGCTTAAGGTGTTACATATAATGCTTTAGAAAAGCTTCCTACACAAGAAAAAAATTGTTATGAGAAAAGAAAATCAAAAAAAGTATGTTGGTATGTATGTCTTAAACGCCTCGGTTGTAGAGACATTACAAAAATTCAGTATATTCTTCTGTTTACACTGTGTTCGAGAACTTAGCATCCACAAAGGAGTGTAGCCAATGATATGTTGTCATGATCAATGGTGGTACTCTCCTTATCTTTTATGTGTAGCCAGTTCGAATTGATTGTGTAGGAATGTGAACTCATTATGATATGAATATTCCATTCTCTTATTTCCTATTATGATTGTCTGTGGTTGCTTGAGTATTTCGATATTTATGTTATTCCATGGATGTTTATATTTCAATGTTTATGATTATATTGGATGCTACTATAAGAATTGTTTATAATATCATCTAGGATGTTAGAAAACTACTTTCATGTGATATCTCTACTTTCATGGTGTTATTTAGCCTGTTATGGGACAATCCAAGTACCACAATGGTAATACAAGGGAAGGGACCCTTGTATATAAGTGTCCACCAAACTCATTAGTACAAGGCATTTTGGGGACAATATCCAAGAGTAAAACCGTGTTGATTTGGCTCAAAGCGGATAATATCGTACTAATGGAGCTATCCGTTTCAGCGTAGACCTCATATTTAGGATCATTTTGAGTCATCTCGTAGTCTCATTGGTTGAAATTACATTAAATACATCCTTAATTTGTTCCTTAGATGATACATATGCATTTTAGGCAAAAATGGGCCATAGTAGAAGAGTCAAACATACCAGATTAAAAATCAACCAATACCAAAATATAGTCACTATCAAAACCAAATCAATACAAAAAAAAATCAATCGATACCAAAGACAAACTGATGACCGCCGCAACAGGAAACATAGAGGGAGATGGAGAGAGAAGAAGCGAGGGGATAAGTTTCTCTACCTGGAGAGATCGTAGCCAGCAGAGAGAGGAGAGCCTCTAATGGGCAAGACGACCTTCGAGGAAAAAAACGTTTTCGCCTTGAAAAAAGACCCATCAGTGGCAAGATGAAGAGCCTATTGGTCGAGCTTTGGGAAAGGAAGAGGAAGATGAAGAGAAAGAGAGAAAGGAATAAGATTCCTTAGGGTGTGAAAAAAGATATATACAAAAACCATATTTTACATACAGTAATAAGATGTCGTCATTATTTTTGTTCCGAAACTATCCTTATATGCAATTATAATGATCAATTTTAAAAATGATAAAAAAAAAATCAGAGGATGAAGATGTCAGCATAACTCTTTTAAAGCGTAGTCACCGCCGTAACTCATTCCAAAATATTCAAATACCCAATTCGCCAAAATTTCATAAGAAGCTGAAATTCAATTGTTCAATATCTCCTACATATAAACTCGTCTAAGAAACCATCGGCACTTACCTGAATGCTGCAAAGTCCAAAGGAACGATGATCGATGTCAATGGCGGTATATTCATTTACTTCATCTTAACGACCTTTTCTATAGCTTTAACCTTACCTACAAAATAAAGTAAATGGAGCTAATTTTTTTCCCAGGGAAGTGATAAATCTGGTTTGCCTAAAACGGGTAAAACTCAATCCTGAAGTGAATGGGCACAAGAATATTCCAAGTGGGTTGTAAGTTGTAACCCACATTTGCAATTTACATTTTACATGTATACACACACACACACCTTGGAGTCCCCAAAAACTGAAATATGAGTTGGAGGGCCTTATTAACCACTTGGTGGACGACACGTCAGAAAGGTGTTCTGAGGTTTTAGCAGATGTACTAGGAATAGTACCCTCACAAAGCTAGCTATATCTAGCTATGCCACCATAGCCAAAGTATATAGGGCCACGTTGGCAAGGAGCTGTGTGTTTAACTTTAACAGAAGCTCAGCCCATATTTCTGGTAAACGAATGTATGTGAAACCTGTAACTTTGGGGATCAACTTGTGTACTAATACTGGATTTGGGAGAGTGATGGGAGGGATTGGTATCAGGGGCAGCAACCTTATCTCCACCAAAGCAGAGGAAAAAACGAAAAAAGGGAAAAGCTGCTTTGGATTATATTCACGTAAAAGAAATTAATTATGAGAAATATAAAAGTATAGGGGCCAAAAATTTTGTACAAGATGACCAACTGGAAAGCAGTACTGCATTTTGTGCAAATTGTTAATGTGGGTTCTTATCATTTTGATTATTTCTTCAAACAATCATGGACCTTGTTCTAGAAGTAAGAATTAATCCGTACTAACTAATTACTCCAAATGTAGCATATTAGCGGGGCTCTCGTTGGTTTCAATAACTCGAGTTTCTGTAAGAATTTTAATTATGAATGTTATATTATTTAACACGACACCTCCCTCAAACATAACACAATTAACGCATGGACCTGAAAAATTGTACAGGTTCGAATACCATATATGTTTAATAAATGGGGTCGTCGAGAGTTTAAGACAACCTCTTGCAAGTATCGAAAGCTCTGGTGTCGGCCGCTTGTAACATTGTCCGTTTTGTGTCTAGCCCCACATAGCTTTACTTTTGATAAGTGCATCCATATATCTGTACTGCTCCATCCTAAGCACGTTTGCCTTAGAGGTTTTACAAGAAGTACCCATTCATTTCAACCTAAACCGAGTCATGTTAGTTAAAGTTTGATTGCTCCTTATGGCCCATGGATCCCTCTCGTGTTTTGTCAATGTGAAATCTGTCCAACGCGTGTTACATTACACCTCTTTTTGGAACTCATCGTTCGTCCTCGTTGAGATTTGTCCCACCTTCATTTAAGAGGGACGCGGAGAGACTAATAATAACTCCGAGCTGTTGGAAGAAAGTTAATTATGAATCTTATACCACTCTCTTGCACACCCCCCGTCAAATGAAAGTTAACTCACATGCTTGAAGTTTTCACATGCTCACCACACATTGTGCTTAAATTAATGAACCGTTAATATTCGCGATCATAGAAATTCGAACACATGAACCTTGGTCAAACCAGATGATCAATATCATGTCAAGAACTGTTTGATCCCAATTACTCGCACGCGCTCGTCGTTTGAAGAAGTTTAATTATATGTATCTTATTATACCATTCAGTAACACAACTCTATCATCATAACCATAAGGATTCGTATGAATTTTGAATCTGTTTGTTGGCTTTCATTTACGTGATCATGTTTGGAATCAACTTTCATTCTTCAATTGAGGGTGTTGGTATTAACTTCCAAATGAACAACAACCCATTTCATCAAACAGTTTTCAAATTTGATTTGTGCATCCAACAACAAAAGAGAAAAAAAGCATCCAACCAAAAAAAAAACACACCCACTCGTATTACTAATACGTGTGTGGATGTTTTTCCGTTTGGCAAGAGCAAAAAATAAAGAAACAAAAAGCAAAGCATTATTTGCATCTTCCTACTGTAGACGCATAATCTCATTCATTGGACAGATTGATTGCTCGATCTACCTACAATATGCAACTTGGCGTAGCAACCCATAGTGCCAAATTGGTCCCTCTCCCTCTCTCTCTCTCTCTCTTCCCACCACCTTTTCCCTCTCTCTCTCTCCTCCCACCTCGAGTACTATATAAACCCTTCACGTGCCCTCTTCCAACCATCGCAACACACAAGCAAATCGAGAGAGCTTTGGTTTACACTTTACTCCAAACACACTACTAAACTAAACCCTTCCTTTTAGTGCTTTCCTCCTATTACCAAAAACAAAAATGGCGGTGCACTTCTCGCTGATGTTCCTGTTCGGCCTCCTCGGCAACGCCATCTCGTGCATGGTCTGCCTGGCCCCGCTGCCGACGTTCTACCAGATATGGAAGAAGAAGACCAGCGAGGGCTTCCAGTCGCTCCCTTACGTCATCGGCCTCTTCAGCGCCATGCTCTGGCTCTTCTACGCCCTCTTCGCCAAGGACGCCATGCTCCTCGTCACCATCAACGTCTTCACCTTCTTCATGCAGACCTTCTACATCGCCGTCTACCTCCTCTACGCCACCAGGAGCGACATGATCACCACGTTCAAGCTCCTCTCCTTCTTCAACGTCGTCGGCTTCGGCGCCATCTGCACCCTCACCCTCGCCTTCACCCACGGCTTCCTCCGCGTCCAGGTCCTCGGCTGGATCTGCATGGTCTTCTCCCTCTGCGTCTTCGTCGCCCCTCTTGGCATCGTCGTACGTATAGCTCGCGCTGTTAATTTCCTTCCTGCTCCTTGCATGCCAGGATGCACTCTGATACACATATATTTTTTTTTTTTTTTTGGGTACGTACAGAGGAAGGTGATAAAAACGAAGAGCGTGGAGTTTATGCCGATCTCGCTGTCATTCTTCCTGACGTTGAGCGCGGTCATGTGGTTCATGTACGGATTCCTGAAGAAAGACCCTTACGTCGCTGTAAGTAGTATAATCATCATCATTCAAAATTAACTTTAAACTGTTATTATTATTATATGATTATGAATTAATTAATTTTGTGGGGTTTTTTTTTATGTTTCAGGTTCCCAATATTTTGGGGTTCACATTCGGGATCCTGCAGATGATATTGTACATGGTGTACCGGAAAAGCACTCCGGCGGCTGCTCTTCCGGTGAAGAAGGAGGTGGTCGAGGCGGCGGAAGCGAAGGTGGTGATTGATATGGCAAAGCTCGGGGAGCAGCCGGCCAACCAGATCAACCAGGTGGTGCCGGTCGACGCGGCGGCGGTTCGGAGAGAGGTGATGGTGCAACTGGCCGCCGCGGCGGCGGAGCAAGAAGCGGAGGAGCAGAGGAAGGAACAACTGAAGCATGTGAACAACAATAACAAGAAAGACATGATTTTCAACAATGGAATTGCCGTGGCGTAAAAAAAGAAAGAGTTTTGATGACGATCGATGAACAGCCCTTATTAATTTGAAGACAATTAATTACCACAAAAATAATAATGATGATGATGAAGATTGTTATGTATTTTGGATTTGGGTAACTGACCTACGTATGTTTTTTTTTTTACTTGTAACTTTTGCATGTGTAATGTAATCTCTTTTCCGTAAAAATATTCTGTGTACGGGGTTGCCTACTGTGCCAATGTTATTAAGATTCCACTTCCTAAGTCCTTTGTGTCGAGCAAAATTTGTCTATTCGTTTTACATTAACACATGCAGTAGGGTTTTTTTCCCGATTAGAACGCGCTGTTACGATACGATTTCACAAATATCACATGCTTGTCCTCCTCGATCTGTCTGTGTATATACTCACCCAGCTTTTACAATATTATTAATCTACGAATATTAGAGAATCGTCTCTAATATGCCACTTTCCATAATCGCAAGTGCCACTAAGTAATGACGTCGGCGACAACTCACTACAATTAATAATCATTGTCCTCATTTTCACGCGGTTCTTTATTAGAATCTTTTTAACGGCAAGAAGTGTAAAATCGTATCAGATGTTGTACCGAAAAAATTAGTAATAAGATCATCGGTGTTGAGATTATGATTTCGTTATGATTCAGTAATTTTATATGACTAAAAAAATCATCTATCAATATTAGATCCCTATAGGTGGTTTCTTCGGTTGGACCTCTTGTATTGTACAATTTGGCAAATACTGCTTTAACTCTGAGCTCCAAGATTAATGTCGTCTATATATGTGAAATATTTGCTTAATTTGGACTTATAGTAAAATTTGGCGCATAACCCTACATAACCATGATTTATATTATTGAAAATTTGAGAGAAATTTTAAAAAAATCTCTTAATTGTCTGTCTAAAAATTCATACCAAAGTCACTCCCCAAAAAGAATTATGCACTGGAACTTCTGTTGTTGCCGTTGCTATTGTCCCATCTATCCTATTTAATTGACTAGTTTGGTAAATAAATAAAAAATGTGCGCCTCGTGATTATATCGGTTCAAAAAAGACACTGGTGTTGTTCAATATGAAAATTTGCGCGTTTGTATATATGAATGGCACCTGTACTCTAAAGCACTTTTAGGATGTTCGGCACCCTAATTTTGTATTTTATTGGTAAAGGGAGATTAAGAAGTAAAATCCCGCAATATGGGATGTTGCCATGTTGGTTAATGGTAATTTGCCACACTATACATGAATTAATCATGATGATAATGACCATTGCATTGCATATTACTGGGGTTTGATTACTTTGTGAATTTGTTTGCCCGGCCAAATGATTATCGTGCGAGTATGGCGGCATTACTGCCAAGTTTTAAAAGCAGAGTTTGTAATGCGAAGTGACGTCGTCTTAATCTCGCCATCGAGGCTCATGGACGGAGAAGAGAAGATTGTTGTTGATTACATTCAAAGATATTATTTACTCTGCTTTTTGCCGGTAAGACGAGTGAGTGATTTTGCTTTACGTTTCGATTGTGATATGCATATGGTACACATTTTTTCGGCTGAAATATGTGGTATATATTGAATACGTGTGTCATACACAAAACAAAGAAACAAAAAAAATAGGTGATCATCCATATTTTTTTTTATATATGTATAGCGACAATCAGGGATGTAGTCATGAATTTTTGTATGGTGAATCCATTCTAAGAAAAATAGAGACGATATTATATTTTTTTTACATCTTCTAATGATTCATGATGATTTAATATTATATTTGAAAAACTTGGTAAATCAATTCAAAACTATTAAAAAAATTAATTAATTTTTTTAAATAATTATTCATGAGTTAGTTAGCCGTACTTTTGAATGATGTGATTCGATCGACAAGAACCGTTTATTATGAATAACTGGAATTGTTGGGTTAGGTTGAATAATTAATCTTATATCATTTACTAGCACACTTTCTCAAATAAAAAAACCAACTTAGATAAATTGAAGTTTGCACAAATCCAATTACTATGCGCCGAGATCGCCAAAGTTTCAAATACCAAAACCTAATTTATCATTCTCAACCAGAGAGGCTGCAATAATTAGCTATCTAAATATCAGTAAAGTCGAGAACAATTCTGCTAACGTGTATATGTAACTGTTGCTCTAATCATCGTGGAAGAATGAATTTGAAAGAAAGGCAAAAACAAAAATACAGTTTCCTACTTGTCAAACAGATGTTCATAATAATGAATCATGAACGAAAAGTACTGGGCACTTTTTAAATGTCTTTTCCTTTCTGATTTTTACGATTTTAACCTATTATTATTATTATTATTATTTGGTTGTATATTCTGGGCAATAATTTAGTGGTAAGATTTTGTGGGGGGGGGCTAATAATTGAAAGGAGAAAGTAATGAAAAGAGGTTGGTGGAGGGAAAGATCAAAAGATGCATGGGAAAAGCCAAGACTGTGACATCATCAAGATAGGGTGATATGCATTCATTTCATGTTACGTACACAGGGAAAATGTTTAGAAACAATAATTAATAAATTATAGGAAGATGTTTTTTTTTTTCCCCTACTTTTTTTACAATCGATAAGATAGAATAACCAATTTGTACATCTTGACAAAAAAAAAACTTGTTTTTCTGAAATCTCAGTGCAGTAGAGTAATAATCAATACAAAACTCATTTGTATAGAGATTTACAAAATCAGATTTATGGTTGTAATTTCGAAATGAGATATTTGATGGTGTACATCATAAAAGGGAAGAAGGTAAAATATGACTTTTGGAGACAATTGACGGATTTATAGGACTGATATAGATTTCCAAGGCGAACGAAAAAACCATTTTTCAAATCTCCAATGAAACTTCAACAAATTCTATCTTGTTCGTTTTACATTAAATTTCAAACATTTTAGAGTAGACTAATCAATTTTTTATGCATTACAAGATTATATCCATTTTGATATTTTTTTAGCAGGAACTTTTCACATCATCTTACCACCGGAAAAGGGTTCGTATAGACCTTATAAGAGAAACCCGTCAAATGGAGTTTATCGGCCGCTAGCATAATTACAACTATATAAGAATGACAATACGACATCAAAATTCTTTTGCTTAAAGATAAGATTTCATATAATCCCATCACTGTAATACCAACATCTATAACTATAGTATGACTTCATAATATCATCTTATTACTGTCATATAGTAATAATATCATGATATGAAAGCGTTGAGAACTTAAGATAGTATTGTTTGTCATGTGATACTGGTAGGATCGTGATTTAACAATGATAAGATTATAACAAATACGTGTTATCTAACGATAATTTTCTTTTGCACAAAGTATAATAAAATGTGGTGATGACTGGTATACTCCGGGAGTATACCATACTCCATGTGATATGACCGTTAGATCTCATTTTTTGAGTTTCGACCAATCTCAACGCTCAATTAATATTTTCTATTAAATCGAACATCGGGTTTGAGTTTAGCGAATTAGGGTCTGTGGTTTATCCATTAGAAGTTAGGGTATAGTATCATGCCTCAAACTCGGTTTAATTCATGGTCTGGGTAGTGATATCTCGCTAAAAGTACCTGGAGTATAGTATACTTCAGGAGTACACCAGTCTGACCCAACAAAATATATATATATATATATATATATATATAATTATGTAGATAATAACTAATGACTTTTTTTCTCTCCTAAAATTTTAATTTGGCTTAAGGAGATATTTGATCATACCAATACTAGAACCAACACATGTTTTAAGAAATTAATATTTGTTTTTCATGAGCATTTGGAATTTCTCGCGTGCATTGCACATATCACGTGCGTGAAGAATAAAGGAAATCGTGAAGGGTGTAAGTGAAACATTGTGTTTGTGTTAGTGTCACGGTTTCATTGCACACATCATGGTTGTGACGTGTGGCCGTGAAGATTGCATTGCCAGTATAAATTTGAAGGGTGAGCAGATTTCAAAAGGAGAAGAGCTTTAGAGAGAGATTTGGGTCTTCTTCTACATTAATTATAGAGAGAAAGCGACAAACCAAAGAAGATTGAAGAGGAATTTGACATAGCCAAGATCAAAGGAGGCCACATTTCATCTTCAACACCATCCCAAGCAACTAGGAAGAAGGAGATTCATCTTTTCATGGTGTTTTCCTTCTCTTTATTTGTAGTTCTTTCTTTATGCATGAAGTAGATTTTACATTCACTTGTTGATGTGAACCCTAGTCTAGGATGTTGTAGTTTGATGATTGTGAACTCTATGTTGTCATTGACATGTTTGATTATATATTAATTGAGTACTTATCATTATTTTTTTGATAATTGAGTACTTATCATTATAATTGAGAGTGCTTGATCAAATTCCTCAATTTTGGGTCTAATTAACCTTAGAGGGTGATTGGCATGTTTGATTATATATTAATTGAGTATTTATCATTGATAATTGAGATTCCTTGATAATTTCCCTCAATTTAGGTTAATTTGGGTCACTATTCAATTATCGTAAGAGGGCTACGCGCGAGAGTGATTGGTTTCTTTACGCCATTTCGAGTCAGACGCATACCTCTCTTGATCCGCTAAACAGACGTGGATCTATTCTGGATCCACCAAACAAACGCATATCTCAAATCTTGTGGTCATGAATGAGGGTCCCACCAAACTAACGTCCACCGCCCCAAATCTACTTAACCAGGCTCTGATATCACTTGTTATAACCGAATAGCTCCATTAGTACGTTATTGTCCATTTTGGGCCAAGCCCGCATGGTTTTACTTTTTAGTATTACTCCCAAAAAGCCCCGTACTGATGAGTTTGGTGGACACCAATATACAAGGGTACATTCCCTTGTATTTCTGATGTGATACTTGGATTGTCCTAAAACAAACTGCTTCATAAATTTTAGTTGGTTGAAGTAAGAATATGAGTCACCTATAAATAGTATACCTCCCATACCTTTTAAACCAAGATTTAGAGAGTTGAAACACGAAAGAGAGTGTTCTTCTCATAGAGCTCCGATTTTCGCACAAACCGAGAGTCAAGAGCGTGGTTGATTTATCCTGTAGCCACTCAGATAGCAACCTGATGTGCGTAAGGCGAGACCGTATCAACGCGCGCACGTATTAACCTAATCCACAACTCCAACCAGATTCAGTAACCCTAATTTTTTATGTGATCGATTTCTAACGCTACACAACACTACCAAACGTGGAGTTATATATACATCAAATTGTACGTGATCGATTTCTAATCTAACATAACATTACCAAAGTTGGAGTTCATACACAAACTTGGGGTTCATATATACGTTAAAAGGCAAGGCGGCAAGGGGAACAAAACATATGGTAGTGATTTACTAGCTAGTCTAATTATTAGCAGCAAGGCAAAGATATATAT